GAATGCCATAATATTTATTACATATATAGTTTTTGCTAGCTAACTTCTCTTACCATGAAGAGTTGTGTTCTAATCGTAAAAAATTATTTTAAAACTAAAATTTAATTTTTATTATTCATAGATAATTAGGAATCATTATTCTGTAAAAGCATTAGATTTGAGTTGGTTTTGTCTAAAAGACTGTTCAGTATTTGAATAAAGATTAAATCTATTTTGATGTTGATTTAATTTAAAAAATAATAGATTAATTTTGATTGATGTAAAAATTAATTTGAAAATACTCTTTTATATATATATATATATATATATTATCGATTCTTTTCCTGCTAAGACCAGGTAAGTAATCATGGAATGAATCTGAATTGTGAGTGGACCTATATTCTCGGATGGCTTGGCCACACAAGCTAGGGTCTTAATTTTCGAGGAGAACCACACATAATGATTCTTCCTATGTCGATTGAGAGAGAGAAACGTGTTGAATAATATATGCCTTTGCGGTACTGAAACGAAGAGGATCTTTCCCGACGTAGACAGGGACAGTGCTGAATTTTTTTCTGTCGCATTGTACCCAACTGTACAAGACAACCCCAAAAAAGCATACTTATAATTTTGCACAATTGGGACATGCACTAATAACATGATCTGTTGAACTGTCCAGTCATGTTCTCTGCAAATCTTTATCATTGATCACTAAGCTTGGCTATTAGTGTTTCTTGCAAGAAAAGATGCTGGACCACACACGGGCTGTGACGAGTTCTGAATCCTCGGTTGATTATGTGAATGGTAAGTCTAGCTTTTTTTTTTTTTTGTAAGCTCGGACCTTGACCGCGGATGGAGATTTTGTTGATTATTATATCTGTAAAATAAATCTTTCTAACTATATAGGAGGACTCTTAGATAAATAAGTTATTATTAATTAGATATTCGTGTTACATTACGGTCAAATAATTGTTATATATATATAGTCAACGATTTGTATGTTGTATTTCGATGATTACTGTAAGTCGAATCTATATATTGAGCGAAGTCGTTTGATTTATATATATTTATTAACAAAATATTTAATAATATTAGCATAAAAAATTGTGTTTAAATAATTAGTAGTTTTTTCAAAACACTATCTAACTTATTTTATTTTAAAAAATAGAATATAAAAAACTAAATAACAAATAATCGGTATTATGTGTGCGGATATATAATTAATTTCTAATAAAACTAATATATATATATATATATGTGTGTGTGTGTGTGTGTGTGTGTGTGTGTAAAATTCAAAGTATATAGAATAAATAGAAAAATATACAAAAAAACCCACCTAAATGGTATGAAATATATTGAAGTCTATAGATTAAAATAAAAACTACAACAAAATTAGTTCTAATAAATTCTGAATAAATATATATAAAAAAGCAGAGTATATAAAATAAATAGAAAAATATATGAAAAAATAAACCTAAGTTGTATGAAATATATTGAAGTCAATAAATTAAAATAAAAACTATAAAAAATTAGTTACGTTAAATTTCGAATAAATATATATAAAAAAGAAAATAAAACTTGTGATTTTTTAATTGATTATTAATTTTTTTTTAAAAAAAAAACTTGAGCCAAACTATCTAAAACACACTTTTAGCTCCTCTCTCTCTCTCTCTCTATATATATATATATATATATATATATATATATATATATATATATAATCAAAATTTATAAATTATAATAACATATTTTAAAAAATAAAACACTCATTTAAAAAGCATAAAAATAATTTATTGTATAAATTATAATAATATATTTTTTAAAAATAAAACATTGGCGTTCTAAATTTTTATTCCAAAATTCATATATTAAGAAAAATTATTAAAAAATAAAATTGTATCAAAATATTAATTTGATGAGAATCTTAATAAGAAACAAATAATTAAATAAATAAATTTTAAACAATAAGAGTAATATAATCAGATATATATGCTCAAACTAAAATTTAAAAAAAATATCATATATATTTTATCATCTTCAAACTATATGTAAAACTAAAAAAAAATAATGATTTATTTTCTATGTTTTTCGCACTTAATTTCATGATAATATGTGTGTGTGTGTGTGAAGAAAAAAGGTCAAGCTCGCTAAATTTTATGAAATATATTGAAGTCAATAGATTAAAATAAAAACTACAACAAGATTGATTCGATAAATTCTAAATAAATATATAAATAAAAAATAAAACGTGTGAATTTTTTTAACCGATTATTAATTAAAAAAAATCAAGGCAAACTATCTAAAATATACTCGTCTCTCCCCCATATATATAATCATAATTTATAAATTATAATAACATATTTTAAAAAATAAAACACTCATTTAAAAAGCATAAAAATAATTTATTATATAAATTATAATAATATATATTTTTTTAAAATAAAATATCGACGTTCTAAAATTTTATTCCAAAATTCATATATTAAAAAACTAAATTTATTAACAAATAAAATTATATAAAAAAATTAATTTGATGAGAATTTTAATAAGAAAAAAATAATTGAAGAAATAAATTTTAAATAATAAAAATAATATAATCGGATATATATGTTCAAACTAAAATTTAAAAAAAATCATATCTATTCTATCATTTTCAAACCATACGTAAAACTAAACAAAATAACGATTTATTTTCTATATTTTTCACATATAATTTCATAATATATATGTTTAAACTAAATTTTTTTAAAAAAATCATATCTATTCTATCATTTTCAAACCGTTCATAAAACTAAAAAAAAATAGTGATTTATTTTTTATATTTTTCACACATAATTTCATAATATATATATACAAGAAAAAAAAAGGCATTATATATATAAGGAGCAGCCAAGCCAAAAAAATAAAAAATAAAAAAGCTACAGTAATATATATACACACGCACATATATGAAGCAAAATTAAAAAAATAAAAAAGAGGCCAGGAGAGGCGAGGCGAGGCGAGGCGAGGCGAGGCTCGCACAGAGCAACCAGGCGCGAGCCTGCCCTCTCATTTTTGCCTTCCTATAATATACATACATAAGGAAAAAAAAAGGCCAGAAGAAGGAAAAAAAAAAAAGTAAAGTAAATGAATAGTAATAACCTCAGATCTTTTAACTGTTTTTAGTAATTCAAGAGTGGTAATAGGTTGAATAGACTTGGATGTCATGGTATAAGTTTTTTAAAATGAATAATTAAAGTTCAAATATTCAAAATCTGAAACTTTTATTTTTATTGTCAAATTCAATGGAAAAAGAGATAGAATGATAATAGGTTCTCTTGATACCATGAGTATCTGTTATCAATTTAATAGGTAAATATTTTTTATTAGATAATGTTAATTCCAAATGCTTATTGTTATTGAATAGATATTTGATTTGATTTGCCTCTTTTTATCGATGGGATTGATCAATCGTTCGAATTTAAGGTCGAAAATAGCCTAAATAGATTGCAATGGATCCTTGTGTTGCCGAATGCCTTGGATTTCTTTTTTAAAGAACTGGTCTTTGAAAGAAAAAGGATGTTGTAATGAACGGTGGCAAGTCATGCATGTCATGTTCCAACAATTGATGGCTAGCCATTTCTTTGTTTTACCAAAAAACAGAGCATTTGAAATCCGTTGAATGTTCATCGATCATCATTGCTGATCAATAAAGCATCAAATACTGTCATTCAAATGAAATTCTCAACTTAATTTAATAGAATCAATTGATCATCAGAATTCAACTCCACGCAAATTGAGTCAATTTGCTCCATCCAGCCATGCAAAAACCCGCAAAAGCTGCCCGGCCGCTAATAGGAGACTGTTTTGAGTTCAAAACAGATCAACAGCCTCTCTCAAAATCCCGTTAGTGTGATCAAATCACATTAGATTTTTAGATCCAAATTAGCCATTCAGATGATTGACATAGACATTTGACAAGATGGTTTTCTTCCAATTTACAAAATTGGCCATAGCCATAACCCGTCGATTCAACTGCTTTATTTCCAACTATTGTCAAAAGCAAAGTCATACCAACCCATCCCATCGTTGAATAACAAGACGCTACAGAAAGTCGATGTTTATAGATTTGTGGAAGCTGAAATTTTGTACTTTAAGCACACGCAGGGAGATCCTACCAAGATTGACAAATTTAATGGATTAAGCTTGAGAGCCTGAATTCCTTGATCACCACTACGAAGAAAGCGGCACTAGACTGCCCTTTAACCATGCTTCTTCATTCCTCCTTTATCCATCATATCCAACTTTGCTCGTGCACTAGCGTAAAAATTTCAACTTTGCTCATGCACTAGCATAAAAAAATTCAATAATTCGTCAAAACTAAAATTCCATGGCCATTGAGAAGAAGGCGGGGACAACGCAATACTTTAGCCACCCACACCTTTTGCTTGTGCACTGAAAGACCATCCTACCTTAATTAGCACAAAATTTCATCACCACTACGAGCTATGGGTCGGTCCAGCATCCATCATCTCTTCTCATGCCCTTGGCAAATTCATCTCTTTTATAGAACCGTCACAGCTTTTCAGTCAATTAACACCGAAACAAATCCGTGCTAGGTAGATGCTAAGTTACTAACAAATCTGTCCTAAATGTGTCTCTATAGCATCACATTTTAGGGTTAGCACCGATCATCATGATAGCTGAAAACAAATTATTTCCAATTGAATGAGGAAAATCTCGGACACAAGGAAAAAAAGAAAAAAAATGAGAATTCGATTGCTCCCAACAAAGATGATTGAAGGCAAATAATGTGAAACAGTGAATAATCACCGCATGGCAGTTTATTACTATTTTTGCACCGGAATTTTTGGCCATACTGTCTCTAAGATAGAAGACTTCTGAAGAGTAAAAAATAATGTTGTATACAATTAAATTCAAAATGCCAATGGTGAGAGACATCAATGGCTCCATTAGATGTGCAGCATCAAACATGAATAAGCTCAAATTATAAATACGAACCAAAGATTGTAGATTCACAGTCACCCTAATGAGAAATGAGAATAGTGAGATATAAGCATTTCCATCCCGACAGATATATCGTCAGCACATACATACAAATGCAAACCCCCTTTTCCCCTCTCCCACAACAAAAAATTCTCTTAAATCAAAATCACAATCATGTCGGAAAAACAAATCCATTTTTCACAGCTATAGAACTGAATTTATTGCAAGTTGATGGCACATACCTAGAAGATATAACCACTAGGGTAGAAATATACAGGTTTTGCAATTGTTTGCATGAGAATCAGGAAAATCTAGAGCTGTAAGGATGTTTTTATCTGTATTAAGATAGAGTTCGTCTGTTGAAAGACTCCACTGTCAAGTTGGCTGTGAAAGCTGGAATTGAGTTCATCTTGCGAATAAATATATCAGCCTGGAAAGGTGCAAGCTTTGGATGAGTTTCTTCCCCCATCCCAGCAAACAGAACAATAATAATAGAAATAAAATAACCAAGTAGAGTAGCAGTAGTAAATAACAAAAATCAGACGCAGATAAGAATTCAGGTGACAATTTTTTTACTAAGAATCTTAAAGAGTGAAAAAGAGAAATTTCAGGCCATTGAAAACCAAACCAAGCAACAGTGCTGGTCCAAATTTTGAAATAAAATCTGGGTAACATCATCAATGACACCAAACAAAGTACCACCACTTCCCAATACAAAATAGCCCAACCCAGCCATTTAAAATCAAAGAAATTAGAATTTAAGATCCCCAAATACTTTTAACATGAGAGGAGTGAGTGATTTAAGTGATCCAGTTGAAGCGACACATTATACATGCCAAGGAAGAGCATTCAGAGGTATGCAAGTAATAAACATGGGTTCCTGTGCTTGTGTCCACAGACTCTACACACAATATTTGTAGAAAAAACTTCTATATACCTGACGAGATATGTCGGGCTGCGATGTGTAATCATTTGCCTGTCGCAATAAAAGGAAAAAAGGAAAGTTCAAATCCTTCTCTAGAATTATTGAAAATAAAATGGTGCTTGCAGAGTGTTCAGGTATTATATAAGGACAAATGGGTATGTTTACCCATCTAAGTAACATAGAAGTATTTTGCATCCCATTGCACTAACTCAGAATAAGGAAAAGAAGAGCACAAACTGTAATTAAAATATTCACTCCTTCTTCGCTAAAGGAAAAGATTTTTTTTGTAGGAAATCATTTTTCAGGTCCTGTACATGAATTTAGGCACAAGAGAATATTCGGTTCAAATGCCACTGAAGACAAGACTAGCATGCCTGTCAGGATAATCATTTCTCCAGGACATCAGGGACCTCTATGTAACCTAAAGTTGCTAACTTACCAAAATGTTCGTGTTCCCTGATTCATATTCAAACTCAAGTTTCTCATCATCACTTTGAGCATAGATAGATTGCAGGGTAAATCGAGTAACTGGCATTCCATTGGAACGCTGGTGTTCATCCATTACAATCTGCAAAAGATATGACCAAAGGAAAAGCATAAACCTTGTATGCTCAAGTAAAAGACAGCAGCTTTCTAACTTTGTCACGATGACATGATAAGTCAGAGGAACATATGCCTCCAATGATTATCTTAGTACTTTGGCATGTACTAGCAATTAAATTGTAGTCCTTTTTTATTTAAAAAAAGAGGATGAAGGGTTAAACTGTTATAACTGGATCTTGGAACCAAAAGAATGACACTTTCCGAGGTCCAATTACAATCAAATTTAAATGAAATTGGTAAATCCCATATAGGTATCAATATGATACCTTGTAACCAAAAAGTTCACAACATGCCCTCCGAAACACAGAGATCCTATCAGCAAAAACTGTCTTGTATCTGCTCAATTGATAAAAAAACCAAATGCTTTTAGGTTGTGATAAAATTTAATCACAGTTTTTTAAAAAAAACAACAATTTGAAATACTTCTTGAGCATCACACCTTTTAGGTTGTGATAAAATTGAATCAGTTTTAAAAAACAACAATTTGAAATACTTCATGAACATTGCTCACCTTTCTTCACGTTTTTCAAGAGTTGCAATTTGTTCTTTTAATTGTGTTATCTTCCCAGAGATATAGGAGTCCACCAGCTTGCCAGCATCACCTGAACAATTCATCATCATAAATCTGTATGATCAGAAGTATAGAGTTGTACAGAAATGTAATGAAGGAAACAAAGTTGGACGGGGAAAAATCATTTTTCATGGTAAATTGCTTGTGCTTGATACCAGACTGACTCTTCAATTCTTCTACAGCTTGTAACTTCTCCTTTGTCTTCTGCAACTCAGTTTGTAAAGCCTCAATGGTTTGTTTGGCCTCATTATCAACTGCAAGTGTGTTAACCATTCTCAGTACTTTCGTATTTGCAGCAGAGAAGTCGCCATGACCTAGCTGTGGAAGAAAAGCAATAAATTTGTCAAGGACCATAGCTGAAGGATAAGATAAATCAAGCATCTTCAACAAACGAATCATCCATGTAACCAGATATCAATTGTGTACAACTGAAAGAGAACCACATGTTTCAACGAACCAAACACTACACGAACCTTTGTTGCATGCTTTATGCCTTCTCAATGCCATCAACAAACTATCATAGGAAATTATAAAGAACAGAAACACACAGACAAACTTATGCTTGGTATACAGGAAAAGCTCTTTGATGGTATCCTGGTGTTGACAGGATATAATAGATTCACTCTACAAGAGCTCCAGAGAAGTCACATAGGAGCATGAAAGCAACTTCAGAAATATTGGAAGAATTATAAATTGCCAAATTTCATTGTTCTAATATTTTAAGGATCACATTTAGCAAGAGAAGGTACACATGAAAGTATGAACACTAACACTAACCAGTGCAAGCAAGCAACTAATATAGAAAACTAACCCTAAAGCCTCCACTGACGTCACAAAACTTTTGAGAGGCAACTTATTGTAAAATGAGGTAGCTTTTAACAAGCACGAAGCAGATACAACCTTTTTCAGTCCCTATGTTAGCAACAGATAAGCCCATGAAACAAAGGATGTAAGTCTCTAAACACGGACACAGATTCGACCCTCACAAATAGGGATAACTTCTATGATTTTGCACCAATTCTACACATCATTGGTGTCCATAAAGGCAACACATAAAACCATGTAAAGCTCCAACAATCATAAGAAACATCACATGCGAAAAGAAAACACTTAGCAAGTAATCAAAACCATGGTTATAAATATTAATGTGTGCAAGTGTGAGGATAACATGGAAGCTCGATGACCTCTGTTTTAGATCTGTGACAATTCTTATGACATGAGAAACATGTCTTGTCAGAACTCCATACTTCAGGCTACAGGACAAAGTTTTAGAAGAGCATAGCCTGCCAGGTCCAATTACAGCATTGAACAAACAATGAGAAAAGTGTTTCTCAAGCCCTGTCTGTGGTTGAACTTCAGCTACCAGCCTCCAAAAATTCCTACTCTATCAAGCTAAACAGAGTTCAAGCCAATAATCCTGAAGTTCAATGAGTAAAAGGAAGACTGATTGGATACAAGACTTAGCTATATCCAGGGAGCATCCCTGGTATATACAAGTGTCAGCATGAAGAAATTTGGATACGAGACCAGATACGCCTAAGATAGGTTTTTGCAAGCATCAAACCATGCCTTTATTCCATTGAAAAATCTGTGAGCAAAAATGATGCAAATCCCTTAATACATGCATGAAAAGATCAGAAGCAACAGACTTAATCATCCTATGACACTAATGACAGAAACTAATAAGATTTCGTCAACACAACTGATACTTGCTCCTTGATGAATGACCTTCTCTTAGCTGAAACAAGTCAAACTTCATCCATAAATAGATATGTGAAATAACCTTCTGATGTTAAGAAGACGAATATACAGTAAGAAATTAAGAAAGCCATTAAAGCATTTAACGGAGGGCCTAAGCCCAAAAGCAGCAGGTAATTCTTGGAATAGCTTTGAAATTACCTTAGACTCCAATAGGGAAATCTCTGCACGAAGCCGATCAGTCTCCCTTTCCATTGACTTAATTCTTCTAGCTTCATTATTTAGCATTTCATTGAGTGTCTTTATTTCTTCCAATTGGCGACTATTGACTTTCTTTTGTGCATGTAAATTATTCTCCAATTCTTGAATACAAAATTCCTTCTTTGCAAGAGATGATTCAAACTCCTGCACATGAAACCAAAGTGCAAAGAAAAAGACTATTAGAAAAGATTGCAAGGAAAATAAATGAAAAGCTATAGAATTCCAAAAGACCTGAAGAAGAACTCCATTGGCTGGTTCATCCCCTCCTTGATCGTTCTTCAACCTCTTCAATTCATTAATAACATTTTTCAACCCATCTTTCTCTTCGGTAACCGTAGAGAGCTGCAATTAGCCATCCATATATTTATTTCAATTAAACCATATCAATGGGAAACAAAAAAAAAAAAAATGTGTAGAACGTTAACCAATGTCAAGGATGAATTCACTCGTATAGTAAATTAATATTCTGACGTGCATCACCAAGCATTAACCCCATCAGTTAGCATCTTCAAACAATAAACAGGTCATATTCAACAGCATGAACTAGAAGCCATGGCATTAACTGCCCAGAAAAAACATGTACTTCTCCAAGACTACGTCAAGCAGCTGAATGTTCATTCTATAGCATAGTCAAAAAGAACAGTTGAAAGAGGACACAACTCCATGTGCAACTCTAACAACAATTAGGAGAAGGAGAACTATAAAAAAAGCTATCCCTACCCCTTATCTCCACAAGGCATAAAATTGCCCTCCACCCCCAAAAAATGATGTCTCGTAAGAATTCGGAGAGCGGAAATGGAAATATCCAAGCACACCAAAAGTGCACAAGTTTTAGGGCATCAAAAGGCAAACGAAAAATATAATACAGACAAAATGAAGAGGTATTGAAGGAATTTTGCTTCTGATGAAGATCTCCAAATGGAGGCATATGCCTCAGAAATGGCAACTCTGTTTAGATTGTTCTGCTAACAAGATCAACTCCACAAAAGATGTAACAGAACAAAACACCACACAGCTATATCCCAGTACTTCACAAAACTCTCTCTGCAACTCTTTGACAACTGCTCCATCGTTTGTGGAGTAACTCAGTTTACCTAAACATGGGAAACAATAATGACCAAATCTCCTGAAATACAGGAAGTGGAGAACCAAAAGATTCTCTGATGCACAGCTCCATTTATGCATGCAATGCTATTCCAAATATATTTCTTCTTCTTAATCAAAGTATCCCCCTTGAGGATTTTGCTTAAAACAGCTGCAATAGCAGAGTCAAAATAAGAAAGCCACTTTAGGAGGGGCACTTTCCCCACCAACTAGTAATCCAGGTAACCACTTTCCCCACCAACTACTAATCCAGGTAACCAAAGAAATTATTTCACTAAACACCTGGTACAAGGATTTTAACTTTCTTTATCTTCATGATCTGGTCAGCACCCTCCCTCCCTAAATGTGCTGAATAGAGCAAATCCATGAGGTGAAGTTAGAGAAGTGTAAAAGAAGGATATTTATCCAACTTTACAACAATGCTAATTGCTCACCTCATTTAGAAAAAAACAGAAAAGAAGTGTAGAAGTTAAAGAAAAACACAAGTACCTAAACTAATACTTACCATCAATTTGATCTGCTTGACCTCCAATTTCAACGCTTCTGCCTTCTCTTTAGCCAATGCAGTCTCAGCTTCAGCACTTTGTTTACCAAATTGGGCAGTGTCCAAGGCCACCTCCATTTGTTTCAAACGTGCATTTGCCTCACCTACCTTCACCATGCTATCAATCACCTCTCTGCATTGAACAGAAAATTTCAACATCAGAAAGCAAAAACTAAAGTGAGAGAGGTGAAGAACGCTAATTCAAGCTTTTCCTTCAAGCTCTCAATATTTTTACCATTATAATAACAAATGACTGTAATATCAAAAGGTAACCAATTATTTTGCATCAAAGATTTTGTAAAGGAGAGGGGATATTCCAATTAACAAAGATACTTTATGACATGCAGATAGTACCAGAAGACATTTAACCTTACACACCACACACCCTCTCCCAACAAAAACTTTAAAAAGGAAAATCAAAAATCAAAAAGCAGGGTGCCAATATTTCCACATGCAGGCAACCTTAAGGCTGAAAGGAAACTTTAATAATGAAGCAATTGCAAGTAACAAGCTAAGGAAATAAACTTACTTTTGTAAAGCTGCAAACTTAGCAGGTATATCGTCATAACACGACACACCAGGGATATCCTTTATCGCTGACTTCCAAGAAGACAACTCATCCTCCAGCTTCTTCATATTTAACTCAAATTCTAGCAACTTAGATAGCTCTGACTCTGCTCTTTCTCTGCGGCCCTTTTCTTCCAATAATTTTTCCTTCAATAACTCAATGTTCTCATGAGATGATCTTAGCTTTCTTGCTTCCCTCACTTCAGACTCCTGTAAAATGTCGAACTTTGATAAATCACATAGTGATAAGAAAAAGGATTCATACAATGAGAAAATGATGAGTAACAGACGGTAAATATATGATGTGAGATCCATGGACATTAAGACATCTATGTCACCGAGTGTAGCCAACACCCGAAATTACTCATAGTTGATGAGTAAAGAGGTAGGGATATTCAACATTTCAACCAGCACACACAATTTCATAACTACTGCAACATTTCCTTCTTGATGGATATAGATGCTCCAAATCTGTTTCTTTTTCTAATATTTTTACTCGAAAATATCTAGCATGCACCCAACATTGACACTTCATGGAAGCTGGATGGACATTTAATGCCATAATGTAATCACTTGGGCAATGCATACATTGCTATACCTTTTACAATCATAGTTGTCAATGCCATTTTGGAGATTGTTCCAAATTTTTGGTTGGTACGAGACATCTCAGTACTGGAGGTTTAAGTGCTCCATTCCGGAGTTGCCACTAAAGTATATGGTTTATGTGCATATTCAATACAATAAAAATTAAATAATCAAATGTTCTAATCTTTAAAACAAATATCAAACTTAGATGACCACCAAATATTTGACACAAACAGAACTTAAAATTAGATTAAGTACAATAAATATAAGAAGATATATATGTGATTTTACAAATAAAAGAAAAAAGAGACTGATTAATGAAAGTGTTCTCCAAATATTCTAGTTTGAATAAAATTTTGGCCATGTTAACAACAATGAAACCACAACAACATACTATTATCTTAATTCAAATAAATATAAATTGATCAATTTCAAAATATGCGAGTTATGCTTTGCAATCAACTTGGATGACAAAGAAAAATGTAAGACACAAAGAAGCGCCCCTCTAAAATTTTATTTAAAAAAAAAAAAAAAACAATTTATTGTTTATTTATGTGACAGTCCTTCTATGACAAGAATTCAGCTGTGGATTAATGGTTAGTAGGATGAAAACATTATTATTCTTGATTTCAACATTTGGCTATTAGCTAAAACAACATAAAGTATCAAATTTTCCTTGAATTTATTTCTTGATTTAAAACAGAAAGGCATGCACCTGAGATGACCAAGATGTTTCCGCTGGTATTTGGTGAAGATTTTCTAGATGGGGCTAAATTGACAGCGAGATGAAATTATGAGTTTCTTGCTTTGTTTTTGGAACTAGTATGAGATAACTCAGATTTACAACTATGTTTACAATGACTATCTCCTCATTGTTGAAATGTCAACCTTGGTTAATTGATACCATGCCCTTTAAAAAATAATTTTTTTGTATTTAAATTCCATGTCAACTAACACATAAATACCACTTCATACAATACCATAAACATCATTCCACAAGTTATCAATATACCCATAAAATTTACTGCAGGTGCATCTGCTACCCAAGAAACCATCATGTGGACTGTTTCAAAATCAAATTTCAGTAGCAAAACATACACTAGAATAGAAGACAAAATCCCTGCTCAAACCTAGTCGGTTTACACCAGAACAAAAGAGCTAAGCTTCCCAAATTATTCATCCCAAATGCATGCTGAAATGAGAGTCATTTCATAATTTTCAATTTTTCTTAGCACACATTCACATGCTTACACATGAATATTATGTCAAAGCAACCCAGATATTAAAGAAACCATGACAGAACCGAGCTGAATACAAATTCACAACATGGATTCGCCTAATGCCCTAAAAATCACCAACTTCAATCAGGAAACTTTATAAACAAAAAAGTAATCAGCCTGCCTGAACTCCACTTATCTAAGGTTCTTGGGGACCATGTATGAATGACCAGCAGATTACCATATTACTTGTAATGGACACTGAAAATAGCAAATCCTTTATCTGAGTGGAGGTACGTGTAGAAACCAAACTTACATAATTTCTAAGCTCCTCTTGAAGATTTTTAATCAAAATGTTGCTATTAGTAGAAGAAACTTCTGGAAATGTGAAACTTGATAATTTCTTCTCTAATTCACTCCTCTGGTGCAAGCACTGAAAAAAAAAATGCCATAAACAACATTTGGTGAAAAAGTAATCACATGTCTAGTACAAGTTAAGAACTCTGGAACGTTTTTAGGCAAGTCACTCTAAATTATAGCAGACCAATATTTGCACACAGTAGAAGCTTGACTTGCTAAACATACCAGTCAATGAATACAAGCCGCTTGTAGGGAAAAAGGAAAAAAAAAAAAAAGAAAAGCTATAAGAGAGGAATAAAAGTAAGTCACCTCAGTAAGTTGCCTTTTCAGATCTTCTAGCTGCTCCTTCAGTAGCTCTGATTCTTTCTCAGCATGATTGGCCCTGCATTCCATTTTTTCTAGCTACAAAGAAGAAAAATGAACAAGCAAACTAGCACATTGGGTCACAAGTAAGCCATTATAAAAAGGAAATCAACAATTTTCGATGCTTACATCTGCACGTATTCTAGAAGTAGAATGCTTCGATTCTTTATTCAGCTGTGCAAGCTCATTATTGAGGCGCTTTTTCTCCCTTTCTATGCTTTCAGAAAGATGGCTAAGTTTTCCCTCTAAAACACTTGCTTTCTCTTCAGCAGAAGCTGCTGAGGATTCAGCCTTCTGACGAAGGTTCTTTTCATTTTCAAGCTTAACCTAAAACAGAAAATGGAAGGGGTATTTAAAAAGAAGAAAAAAAAAAGAACAATTTGAAATACTACAAGCAAGCAAACAAACAGGACAAAAGAAGATACTGACCGAGGGTGCTGCCATTGGAATTTAAACTTTTAGACCTGAATTTTAAATTGAAAATGTACTTTCTAATAATGATTTTAGAACTGCTTCGTAATAATACAGATTAATGCTGAAAATTAAAATTGAAAAAAACAAAAAAAGGAAATCGTAACCATTTTCACAGAGCCTGCTTACCATTGGATAATGATTTATCGCTAAAAATTGAAATGCAACCAAAAAGTTGAATTAGGTCATCAAACATTCTGTAGTTCTAAAACTTACATAACAAAAATCCCTAATTTTTAAAAGGAAGAAAAAAAACAATGGACTGCATACCTCAAGTTTACTTTGTGAATCTAACTGTTTCTTGAACCTTTCTTGGTTATCACTAACTTCCTTAAGAAGTTGGTTTTGAAGAGCCTGTTCGCGTCCTTTGGCAGCAGCGAGTTCTTGCTCTACCTGTAACAACCTATATCGAAACTTCTTCCTCTCACCTTCTACATCACCATTAACATTAACATTAATAATTTCCGAATAATAATAATAATAATAATAATCAGGAAAAAGCGAGAGTACCAACCAGAATTTGTGAAATTTTCATTGAGTTCCTCTAATTTAGACTGGTAATCGCCAACTTGCTTCTCGGCATTACTCAACGCATCTATAAAATCCGATTTAACCTAAAATAAAATAAATTGAATAAATAAATGAGGCTTATATATAGTAGCAAATAAATAGATGGAAGCAAAGCTTGTGAAAGAAATGTATGATTGAGCAGAACCAATTGGCGGCACTGGTAGGTGCAGAGGAGCTGTTCGGAGGAAGAAGGTTGATCGGATTGGAGCGGCAGAGTGTTGTTATTGTCGTCTTCGTAGATGACTAGATTATGGTTCTGGCGGTGGTGGTCCGATTGGGGGCTCTCGATGATAGGTCTTGCATTTGCGTCGGCGATTCCTCTTGCCCGCTTCGCTGGTGGAGTTCTAAGTATCATGCTTCTTCTTTTCTCTCTCTTGAAACACTCCAAATGGGCGGAGGCTGTCGTTCAGTAAAAACAATAAGAGCTCTCTCTCTAAATTTGAATCGACAAGACAACTGAAGAGAATTCAAAACCGAGGATGTTTTTGGTGGTGTAGAGTTTGAATTCTAAAAAAATTATAAATAATACTAACTTAACATTTTCGACACGTAGGTGTCGTGGTGTAGTTGGTTATCACGTCAGTCTAACACACTGAAGGTCTCCGGTTCGAGTCCGGGCGACGCCAAAGTTTATTTGATATTTATTATTTTTCCCAGCTTGAATCAAGCGATCGTTATTTTCTATTTTTTTTTATTTTTCGAATATTTCATTTATGTTGGATAATTTATTTATTTACAGTAAATTTATTTATTTAGTTTTTTAAATCTTTAATTATTTTCTTAAATCAAAAGTTTTGATGTCGTATAATCAAGCATTTTTTATAGTTTTAAAAACAAAAACTTGATAATGATCAGTTAAATATCCTTATAAAAAGCTGTAACACCAACATTCTATTCGTTGATGCACTTGAACGAGTGTCAAGTTATGCTAAATTTTTGGAAGATATTATGTCAAGAAAAAGATGTTTGTAAGATTCTGAAACAGTTGCACTTACTGAAGAATGTTGTTCGATGCTTCATAAGAAGCTCCCACCAAAGCTTAAAGATATGGAGAGTTTTACTATTCTATGCATTATCGACAACCAATTCTTTACTTGATTTAGGGACTAGCATCCATACTGTCTCCGTCTATTTTCAAGAAGTTTGGTTTGGAAGCTGCAGTAGACAGATCGATCTTTAAAACATTTGCTAAGGATGATAGGAGATGTATCTGTAAAAGTGAAATATCTCATCTTACTGACAAATTTCATAATTCTAAACACAGAGAAGGATCATGAGAATCCTATATATCGTACTGGATAAACCATTCTGATCAGCTGTTGAAAGAAAGTTGATTTTTGTGCTAAGGAGATGAACTCACGATGAGATTTCAAGATCAAGAAGTTAAGTTTAATATTTTCAATGCAACGAAACTCCCTGATGAGGCTACTGACTTTTTTTATACCGTGAATGTTGTGGATAAGCTAATGGAAGAGTTCTCTTTGAACCATCATCCAACTGATCTTCTTCGAGCCGACATTGTAAATGCATGCATGCATGCATGCATACGGGATGAATCGGCGAAATTACATAGATTGAGAGTTAAGTCTAAATTGTTGAAGCATATTTTATTTCTTATTGTTTAGAATTTTAGTTTTTTTTTTATTTTTTTTTTCCTTTTCAGAGAATTTATCTGTTAAAAGAATAAAATTGATTTTTTCTCCCAAAAGAAATAAAGTTAAAATAGCAAGTTATGTCAAAACAAAATTATAAAGCTATTTCTCCCCTTCGTTATCCCTCGTTTGGAAGTGAGAGTTTGTAAAAGAATGAAGGTTAAAAAATGCAATAGGCAATCCACAAAATAGAAACTGGTGAATACCATAAAGAAGAGTCTTCTTTTTTAAAACAAAAAATACTCTTCTGATTAATTAGGACAGTTTTTTAGGCGCAATTATATTGTCACTTTTTTCCTAAATAAAAATAAAAATTAATCTTTATTTTTACAAACTTCTGTTAAGAATTCATTTTGATTGAAATTAATTAAGAGTTCTTTTAACATGATTTATGAAAAAAATGAATTAAATTAAAAGTATGTTTAGAAAAAAAATTAAAACAATTTTAATGAAACAAAAAGGATATATTATAAATTACAATCGATAAGTCTAAAGTTAAATTTTTTTAATTTTTATTAAATCAAAATTTAATTTAATTTTATAACAATGTTTTATTAAAATTATAATTTATTTTATAATTTTTTAGATCAAATATTATAAAAATAATACAAATCAATTTATAAAAATAATACCAAACAGAAAGTAAATAATATATTTGAATAAAGATTTTTGCATTTCTCACTTGGAAAATTGCATTCTGCAGGCATGTCTGAGGTGGAAAAACACGTGGGCCACGTCCATCATTTCACAAGCAACAATTATGAAATAAATCATCCGGCGATGATAAGTAGATAGATAAATAATAAATAAATAAATGCATGCAATGCCAGTTATCTATGTACTTTTGTTTCTCAAAAAACACAACGGCAGTAATGTAGTTTAGAGATTTAATGACATAATTTACCTTTAAACTATTAATTTTTAAACAAATTTTATCTTTCTCTGTTACCTTGAATATCAACTATTATATAAAATGCTTAAAATAATATTATTTTAGTTTTTTAGAATAAAATTAATTTTTTAAAAATATAATATTTAATAATAATTAATTTTAAGAAAGTTCATATGATTTTTTTGTTTATGAATTCGATTTTTTATTAAATAATTAGTTATGCGTGATGGATAATTATTAAATATTTTTAAAAATGAATTTTTTAACCATTTCCGTTAATTATCATCGCTTTGATCATTTGACACAACAGAGAGCAATAAAATTTATTTAAAATTCAAATAGGCTAAATTGATATTATAGTTTTTATTTTATTACAGCCTTAAACTGGGAGAGATTTATGCCATGAAACCGTGGACTGGAAAGAAGACATATAAGGGCAAAACAGTACTTTGAAAGTAAACAAAAAATTAAGGAATAAATTAATCAAGCAATTAAGACAAATCCGATCATCAATGAGCCTTAATCTAATAGTCAATGTTCCTGCAGACAGGCTAGAGGGGCTGTAGGGATTTCAGGGGACTGTTTTGTGTTCACGTTATAAAAAAAAAAAAAAAATTTAATGAAATAAAATACTCCAAATGAGAAAAGACAATAAAGGGTATCATCTGTCTTGCCTTTACTCCCCCTCAAGCGGCAATGTGTAACGTGGAGAATAACTCCTATACTTTACGTACAAACAAAAACATTGTCCAGTAAATTTACCCTTATTTTTCACATTAATAGATTTTAACATAAAAACATCTTCATCAATAACTCCAAAATATTACAATTTTCACTTTCACTTTTATGTTATTGTTAAGAATTCAATATTAACGTAATTTTATTTTAAAAAATCGAAAGGATTTGAAATTGTATTATAAAATTACATAATCAATATATTTTAAATTTATCAAGAGTTTTTTGTCAAAACCCTTTTTTTTTTTAAGCATTTCAATCATTAAATTAGATTTATGAGATTTAACGATGAATATCCTCATTCAATATCATTGTTAAGAATTCAAAATAAATGTAATTTTATTATAAAGAATGGTTAAAATTTAAACTTTATGTCATGAAATGATATTATTAATAATATATATTTCAATTTTTTTCTAAGATTTTTTTTAAAATTTTCTTTTGAAGAATTTCAATCTTCAATCTTAGAGTGATGAATATATTTATCTAATGCATGATAATTTTTGAAAAGTGAATTTAGAAATAAAAATAGATAAGTAATTTGTTTGTATGTACAAACAAACAGGATATTTAAAACTTGTAATAATTGAAAAGGAAAAAAACAATGGAGCAGTCGTAATTAGTAATTAAATTAGAGATAAAAATAATAAAGAAGAGAGAGATCAGAGTGTAAGAAAAGAGGAGATACAGACAAGAGAACAAAAGCCAAGTCGTGTCGGCTTCGACCAAACATTGACGATAAAACACACACTTTTGGTTACTGTGTATCTATCTATCTTTATTTTTCTTTCTCGATCCAATCGATTCTTCTTCTTCTTCTTCCTAATTTGTCATTTGTTCTCTGTCAAATCTATCCCAAGCCTTCTTATTTTCTAGTTTCTATTTTTGGATCCTTCTTGTCATACTGCCTCCAGCTTTCCACTCCCCAAGAACAAGGTGAAGGTACTATGATTTTTTATTTTTATTTTTTAACTGGATATTTGGTAGTTGAGAAATTAAGAGAGGGGTTTTTAGTGAATTTGTAAGTGAAGAAAGTAGGAGCTATTATAATATGTTTATTGTCAGATCCTCGGTCATTTCTAGTGTTCTTCCGTTTTTGTTTTCTCATACTTTCTCTGTCCAAACATGAAGGTTTTTTCTTTCCTTTTCTTTTTTGCAATCAGACCTACTATTTTCATTTGTGAATATTGGTAGATGGGTTTATGAATCGTTCTGTTTTAGGATGTGATCGTGGGTTTATTTTATTTTTTCTGTGAGAAATTGTGGTTTCGTTTATTTTCATTTTATAGTAGCTAAAATACATGCTGTGCAAAAATAAACGAAGATTTTGAGCTGTGAAAAGTGTGAAGGGAATTTCTAACTCGTGGAAGGTCCATGTTTTTTTGAAAAGTTCGGGAGTTAAAGTTGAATTTTTTTTTTCCTTGAAACAATGAGGGAGAAAGAAATGCCAAGTATTTTTGCTTCATTTAAAGTAAAAAAGCGGAGATAAGTAGCTTCGGTACTGACAAATGGTTAGTAATTAAGGCAAGTTTTTGTTGCCTTTTAATTAGGCAACATCGAAATTGCTGCATGATCATTAAATGATAGTTAATGCAATATCTTTAATGGGTTTGATTTTGTTTGGTGAGATACTTGATTGCTACTATTTATTTTTTTCTTCCCTTTTCGTTGTTGTTGTTGATGGAGCTACTTTTATAGAAGGGTTTCCATAGATTGACTTTGCTGCTCATTCAGGGGTTTCTGCAGTTTGCTTATGGCAGTTGCTATGAATCATACCTCTGGAGGAGATACCCATGCAGGTTTGAGTTTTCGGCAGTTCCACTTTGCTTTGGTTTCTATAATCTTGTGGAATTTTTTATTTATTTTTTAATGGAAACTCGGCTAAATTTGTGTTTATAAGACAGGATACATGCTGAATTTGTAATGGATAATGAGATTATTGTGACATCACCTTGTGTCAACGCTTTTTCAGTGTGGAATTAATGAATTTGCAATGGTTACTTGATGCATTGACATTGACATAACAAGAAGTTATGCTATCTTTTTGCTCCCAACATCTTTGAACGGACTAAATTTAACTGCACATTTGTTTTGATGAAAGGCTTGCTTATAGACTTTGTTAAAGCCATGTTAGCAAGAATTGGTGGCTTCATATAGGATTTAGTGGTATGGTTTACCTCAAATCTGACTATTACATGTCTCCCTCTCTCTCTTACAACTGGACAGTGTTAGACAATTAGGATTGCTGATACTAGAATTTGAATTTACTCGCAGCTGCACGTTTGGTGATTTGCATTTTGAATTTGTAATAACACATTCCTTGAAACTTTGCTTTCTATTCACTGATTTTATGGTTACACTTAAGCATAATATATATATATATATATATATATATAGATAGATAGATGATACTTAAAGTTTTGCTGTTTTAAATTTTAATCTTCTACTGGATTTGTTCAAAATAAATCCATAATGGGATGATTGGAGGTGGAAAATGTTTATTCAGATGTAATTTGCTGGATTTATCCGGTGGCTTAGGGAGATGAGATGAAAATTTGTGCTCATCAATACCATGCAATGTCGAAATTTTGCTGTAGGGAGAAGTTTTGCTTTGAGATAGTGGTCTGTTAATTTTGCTTTAACAATGAGATCTTTTGTAATGGGCTGTTATGTTACCGCCTCCTGTCTACAGATCTTTTTCCTATTTCACATGGCTAGATATAATTTTAACTTGCTCCTGGATGCTGGCTTTTTTTTTTTTTTTTGCGTGTCTGCTTTCTTTGTAACTTAATGAGATTTAACCTGGTGACCTTCTATAAATAGGGGGATGCAATGATGCTTTGTACAAGGAACTATGGCATGCCTGTGCTGGACCTCTTGTCACTCTTCCTCGTGAAGGGGAGCGAGTTTATTATTTTCCACAAGGCCACATGGAACAGGTATTCCCAATAAAGTACAGACCAATGAATCTTGTGCTATATCTTTGTTGCCTATCTTAAAATATTCTAGTCATAGATATTTAGTGGGTTGTTATTTCCTATTTCTTGTATGTATATTCTCTCTTACTGTTTTCTGACAGAGTTTTCATATCTGTTTTATCTATAGCTTGAAGCTTCAATGCAACAGGGGATGGAGCAGCAAATGCCCTCATTTAATCTTCCTTCTAAAATTCTGTGTAAAGTGGTTAATGTTCAGCGCAGGGTGAGTTGGCTGGCGATAATTTTATGTTTTAATTTTGATGAATCCTAACATAGCTTCTTTTTAGCACACTGAGAATCTGGATTATTTTTCTGCTTTTTCTACATATTGGTTCATCTACCATTTTCACTGTGGATTGTAGGCTGAACCCGAAACAGATGAAGTTTATGCCCAGATAACACTGCTTCCTGAACCAGATGTAAGCTCTCTATATTTTTGTAGTAGAAAAGGTTTCTGAGTGCATTTCCATTTTGTACTTTTTTTGCTACATCTGCTTTATTATCGTCACTTCCTGTATGAAACAGCAAAGCGAGGTTACTAGTCCTGATCCTCCACCCCAAGAACCTGAAAGATGCACAGTCCATTCATTTTGCAAGACACTTACTGCTTCTGACACAAGCACTCATGGTGGTTTCTCTGTTCTTCGGAGGCATGCAGATGATTGTCTGCCTCCTTTGGTTAGCATCTAAATTTTATTGTTGTGCCATTCCTATTATGCACCATATGGCTACTTTTGTTCCTTTTGAGCTTATGCTATTTGTTTTTTCATTCAGGATATGTCTCAGCAGCCACCTTGGCAGGAATTGGTTGCAACTGATCTGCATGGCAGTGAGTGGCATTTTCGACACATTTTTCGAGGTTAGAAAGCAGTTGCAATTACTTGATATGACACCATGTAGTTACAGTTGGCAACTTGTTCAGTACATGTCTTGGCGGGTTTTTGTGCTCGGTTTGGCATTTGGTTATGTAGAATTTTGTATCTACATTTAAGGAGATGTTTTGGGTCCCCCTTTTTGAGCTTTTTGTTGTGAGCATTTGAGTACCATTGATGCTTTAGCCTGATCCAGCAGAGAGCACCTTTTTGTGGGATCATATGAAGGCTTCGTTTTCATTGTTGTTTGTAACACACAAAAGACCTCTTTTATTTCCAATATTGCCCAAGTCAACAAGCCTTTTGGAAAATAATTCCCAAGCCAGTTCTTCGGAGAAAGTGCGCCTAAGGTTTTTGAAAGGGATTTCCTCTTCCTTCTCTCACCTTTCCCTTTCCCTTGCATCATGCAGAATTATGTGAAGAAATAGGTTTTTTAGGGAAAGAGAAACCGTAATATGGTATAAATCATCTGCTATTTTCACATTGTTCGTCATTTTTTATATGTGGGGTTTGATGTCATTTTTTTTCCTTATCACATGGCAACCTGTTAGAAAGTATGTAAAATATTCTGTATAAACCATTAGAATGCTGATCAAAAGATCAATTTGCAGGTCAACCAAGGCGTCACTTGCTCACAACTGGGTGGAGTGTCTTTGTCAGCTCCAAAAAGTTAGTTGCGGGCGATGCATTCATCTTCCTAAGGTAAGTATATTGTTCATGGTGGTCTCTCTCTCTCTCTCTCTTTTTTTTGCTAAATAGAATTGTCAATGATAGATTGGAATTTTTCTTGCAGGGGAGAAAATGGTGAGCTTCGTGTGGGAGTAAGGAGACTCATGAGGCAACAGACAAATATGCCATCTTCTGTTATATCTAGCCAAAGCATGCATCTAGGGGTTCTTGCTACTGCTTCTCATGCCATTGCGACTGGAACCCTTTTTTCCATCTTCTATAAGCCAAGGTTTTTGTGCACTTATTTCTATCAAGCCAACTACTTCATGGTTCATCTGTCCAATTTTCTTGTTTTGTTTTTGTGTTGGAAGTCATTTGTAATTTGTAGTTACCTGAGAAACATTCAGAATTTTGCACGATAATGTGCCTAATTGTATATGTTGGACCTTTAAATGCCACTCTTTTCTAATTGCCAGCAACCTTCAGAACGGAGAATCTCATTTTAATATGACAGTTGCATTGATGTGATATTGAGAACTGCTAAACTGATATATTTTTGCTTCTACTGTATTTTAGCAACTAATGATTTTTAGGTGTTTTCCTGTTGTTTCAACAAGTAATTAAACTGGCATTTTCCCTTAATTCCTGCTTTCCAATCAGTAACATTTGTCTGTCCATTTTTGGGTCGATTGTTGTAGCTCAGGACAAGTTTGAGTGTATGGTTTCTCATTTATGTAATTCTTATTACTTTCTGAAATTCTTACCTGGATATTTGTTCTGAATAAAGTCTTCTTTTTTCTTTTTCTTTTTTTTTTTTTCCTTTTCAGAACAAGTCGGTCTGAGTTCATTGTAAGTCTTAACAAGTATCTTGAAGTTCGAAACAGCAAGCTTTCTGTAGGGATGAGGTTTAAGATGAGATTTGAGGGTGAAGAAGTTCCTGAACGAAGGTATTATCTTATTCGAAATCAATAACTTGGTTCAAGGATTCAGTAACATCTTTATAATAGTTATCCTCCATTATGCTACAGGTTTAGTGGCACCATTGTCGGCGTTGGAGATAATATATCATCAGGATGGGCTGATTCTGAGTGGAGATCCTTAAAGGTGGTTTGGTTAATAGTTTATTAATTATGGATTCTGGGTACTGAGTGCCACTAATTTTTTTAATGTTTTTTCTAATTCATTTTCCATGATTCGATATTTTCATTACAACTCTATCTTAAACATAGTCCATTGTTGCAATTTCCAACGTAGAAGTAAATTTATCTTCGCTCGTGACTGGTATCATATTGTCTCCCAGGTCCAATGGGATGAACCCTCTTCCATCTTGCGACCAGAGAGAGTATCACCATGGGAATTGGAACCACTTGTTGCAACCACTCCTTCGAACTCCCAACCTGTGCAGAGGAAGCGGGCACGACCATCTGTCTTACCCTCACCAACAGTGGATCTTTCTGCACACGGTTTGTCTGCATTCCATTTAGTATTTTCCTATTCTATTTGCTTGTGTTGATTTCTGATGATAAATTTCCTGTTACCTTTGTTCATTAGGTGTGTGGAAACCCCTAGCTGAGTCCTCTGCTTTCTCATATGGTGATTCACAACGTGGACGAGACCTTTATCCATCACCCAATTTCTCTACCACTGCAAAGGCCAACTCTCTTGGCTTCTCTGGCAATGGTCCAGTGGCTGGTGTTTCCCCTAACTCAATGTATTGGCATAACCGAGTGGAAAGTGTCACGGACTCTTTTGCTCCAGTTGTAAACAAAAATTCTGGGGAAAGGAGACAGGGCACTGGGATTGGCTACAGACTGTTTGGGATTCAACTTGTTGACAACTCCAATGCAGAAGGAACTTCACCAGTTGTTACTGTGTCTGGAACAGTGGGCAATGATCGCCCAGTTATGTCTTTGGAGGCAGAATCTGATCAGCATTCTGAGCCTGAGAAATCATGTCTGAGATCTCCCCAGGAGTTGCAAAGTAGGCAAATCAGGAGCTGCACAAAGGTAATTCCCTTTTGACCTTTTTATTCTTAATTAGAATGCGATGCACATTATCTTTTAGTCCTCTTGAAAAACAGTTAGCAAGTGTCTTTGGACTTTTCCATGATACTCATTAAAGTAAACTGAGGCACAGCTTTGGATTGATGCTGTGGATATGGAGTATGATTTCTTTTACTGTATGCTGGTTCTATACTCCAGCTATGAATGTTTGATGGCTTATGTATCATTTCCAGGTTCACATGCATGGGGTTGCTGTTGGAAGAGCTGTTGATTTGACGCAGTTTGAACGCTATGAAGACCTGCTGAGGAAGTTAGAGGAGATGTTTGATATTGAAGGTGAGCTGAGTGGATCCACGAAGAAATGGCAGGTAGTCTACACGGATAATGAAGATGACATGATGAAGGTTGGGGATGATCCATGGCAGTAAGTTCATTTGACTCATTGTTATATTTTCAAGTCAGTCATCCTTTACAATATATATATATATAAAAAGTCATCTTAACTATAAAAGATGTCTCAGGTTATTATTTTAAACCATGCTTAAATATTAGAGAGAATTTATTGCTTCGTTGATGACTGGTTTGCCATTTTATTGCAGTGAGTTCTGCAGCATGGTGAAGAAGATTTTCATCTATACATCTGAAGAAGTCAAGAGGTTGTCGTCCAAGATTAAATTTCCAGCTGACGACGAGGTCAAAGGAGGTGGTGCCAATGCTAATGCTGATGCAGCTGTTAACACCGAGGACCGCTCATCCATTGTTGGGCCTGGATGCTGATACCCCAATATGCCTGTGTTTTGCCATAAATGTCTGGACTGGAAATATAAAAAGGGAATGATGAAGAGAGAACTCAACAGTCAAGGCTTTTGTTATTGTAGCGTTACGAGGAATGGCCAGTACCGTTTCCAGACGCAGAGCACTAAAATTATGGTGAGATGGTGGGTGACTGTTTATCAATCCTGTCGTTTATAGAGAGTGAGACTCTCTATCTTTATGAATAGGTTTTGGGTTTTGTTTATCATTTTGTTTTGCGAATCTATTCTTATAGTGCTTGCTTGCTTTGGATTCAAATCCGCCAAAAAGTTGTCCATTCCACCTCTTGTTCTCAACAAATGAAAGAAGGGAAAATGTGCTATCTTGGCTTCTTTTTTTCTTTTTTTTTTTTTTTTGTTTCGCACTGGCTCATCTGCCTTTGTATATAAATTCATATAGCCATTTCATATCTTGCTTTGCAGTGCATGTCTTTTTAGTTCTCCATGTGGAAGAAGCTCATAGTGAATATTGTTGAATGATGCTGCTTGTCAGGTGGTTATAGATAGTTCCAGTCTATATAAATTCAGAAGCTGCACAAACCTAAAAACACAATTAACATATAACTCTACACAAGTTATGCATCATGTAATGTTTCTTCTTTTTAATTTGGTCTTCTATATAAATCTAACATTTTTCCTCCTTCGTAATAGTATAGTAAATAAATATTTGTGATGTGCTGATTGTGACAAATCAAAGGCATTGCTAGTTGCAGACTTCCTTCAAGGGAGTGGTTGAATGGAGTGTGTGATATCACTTTAAATCTTGCCAGTTTCTTGGGATAAGCCTTACTACCAGAAGGTAAAAATCTTGTGAATCTATAGTTTGTGAGTCTCACAAGCTTGCCAGAAAAACCCCATGCAAATCTGGGAAATGCTACTTTTTTTTTTTTTTTTTCCAAAGAGATTTGTCTTGACAGATGTGGACACAGTGGCACAGAGCAACTGCTCTTGTAGGTTGCTTAGATCCTGGGATGGGATGGGTCAAGGGTTCGATGGTAAAGTGTGAATGCTAGAACCCCAGTTCCATGGTCCATCACAGCAAAAGCAACCAGTGCTTTTTTCCTTTTTTAAAGTCACGGCAAAAAAAACGTCACAAAAGTAAAAAGTTATCCCAAATAGGAAAGAAATTGTTCGTGATTGGCCTAGCCCAAGCTCCACCAAGGAGTAGGTGGGGCTAGACTAGTGGATGAGCAACGGTCCTTATATTTGAAAATTTTAAGCAAAAGTTGAATATTTAAGTACTTGAAAAAGAAGACGTTACAGGATGCTTTTTAGTTAATCTTTTAGCCGATCACTCTCGCGTTCAAAGGATACCAGGCTCAACGTTATAGCTATAGCTCTCCATTCCCCCATAAAAATTGCAGTCCCAGAGTAGAGAGACACAAGGAGGATATGATAAAAGCAGCGAGGAAGCTCAAGAAGTTGTGGCCAAGAAAGAAGAAGAGGAAGAAGACTCATCAGTATCAAGAACCCTATTACTACCATCCACCCTCCTCATGTCATTATTGCTGCTCTTACCCTACTGCACTGGCTCAACCCTCAGCTCCACCATTGCCACCATGGCTTGAGCCTGAACTGACCTATGAGGCCATTTCAGCACCTGGGATCGGGGTGCAGCCCTTGCCAGAGCTGGCCTATCCAAGTCAAATCCAAGCTCCATCACAAGAAATCGTCGAGGAAACAGCTCCCATGTATCCTGCATTGTCTTCGTATCAGCAATACCTGGTTCCAAATCCTGTTTATGGGGTGCCTGTTGAGCAGAAACTTGTAAGAGAGAAGTCAGCTGGGTTTTTCGGATGTGTTGTTAACTTTGGCATCAACATAATCCGTTGCTTCTGCCCATGTTTTCGCATTCGGGAAGGAAGTGAGGTTGTAGTGGCTTGAAGACAGTACAAGATCCGCCATACATCTAGGTTTTGCATATCTATAGATCTAATGGAAGTGACTGTAATTAGATTTAAAGCTTTTGGTTTTGTTACATGTTCATTGTTATACTAGATTTCAAAGTGGTAAAGCTACTGAAATAACATCTGTAGTGCAGCAATCTGCTATTATCATCAGTTTCTTTGAATAAAATGAGCTTAAATAGTTGTGATGGGACTCGTCAATTTGTTTTTAAAAAATTGAGGATACAGAACGAAGAAGAATCAACTAAGGCAGTCATGGTACAAGATTAAAGTGAAGACTTAAAAGGCTACGCAGATGATTAACATAAAATCACATAAGACAGCAATGAGAAGTCAACGGAGGGGAGCTCAAGAACAGGACAACCTGAACTACACACAAGGAAGACAACCTAAACTAACATCGGAACTTCTTCAATAGTCGGAGATGCGTTTATATATATATATATATAATCTTCTTCTCTTTGCTTTTTGTAAATATTTCTCAAGGATTTTTTTATACCACAAAGAAAAAGCCTCCCTAGAACTGACAGCCTCTCTAATCCTTGAGAATTGGAATAAAAAAATTCTTGAGAAATATTTACAAAAAGAAAAGGTAAGAAACAACCACGACATGAATTAACGCCGTATAACAGAAACAAACATACCCAAATCATTTAAATAACGACTGTTGAGTTACGTAATGCCTGTTATTTGGAACTATGAGCGCAATCACAGCCCATAAATTTTCATATTTTCATCGATGATCCCCTCACTAAAAAATGTATCAGTAGTCAGTCAGTTCAATTACATGAACCATGAGTTCATAGCAAAATTGCAAAGTGCAGGTTTACAACAAAACTCCCTATAGACTACATATGTAGTATAGTGCTCCATACCATAAATAAATGAAGGATTGACTTTTGAGGAGTAGCCAACAAAGTCTCATCAGGAACAGGTGCCCATTCAAATTCCTGGTTCAAGATGAGCTACAACTTCAACTTGGTTGTTTCATTTCATCTTTCCTTTCTCCAAAAGGCATTCTTGTTATCACAATTCTGATGCACAAGATACGTAAGAGCATTACACCCTCAAGTAGCATGTTCATTGAGAATGTAACAGACTGCACAACCGAATTCTTCAGCCATCTTCATCCCCCTCTTAACACAGCTTTCCCACATGCAGCCATTGGAGATTAATTTGCATCCATAACGATAAAGATCTTTTATCTCCATGGGAAAAACTGATCTTTTCTCCTATTTCCCCCTCAGTTTATCCCACTCGCAGTGAAACTAGAATCTTCCACTACAAGTATAATGATGCTGCAAACACAATGTCTCTCTTGATTTTAGAAACAGCCTCTTCAAATTTGGCCTCTAGCTCTGTTTCCCCAATGGACTTTGCTGCTTCTATAAGCTGTTGAAGAACCTCCTCCAGTCTCCTAATTGCCCTGATCAAGCTGCCCTCAAATACTTGTGTCATTTCCATAATCTCATAGAACTTGGATCCTTTTGCCCAAGCATACACAACCTCCATGATATCAGGCCGAAACGAACTCACAAAATTCTCCACATCAATTTGTACCTGTCATTTTGTTTAAAGAAAAAAAGGAAAAAGAAATGGAACACTCAATCAAATGACTACGAGAAGAGAAAATCAGTTTTCGAATACAACAGTGTAGGCTACTCATGTATCATGCTAATTTTCAAAAAGGGGTATAACATGTGCATAAAGGCCAAACTCAATACAAAATCTGTAAGGCACACTGCAGGATAATCTGTGACCAATGCTAAGCACAAATATGGGAGTTTTAAGTCTGGAAAAGTTGGATAATACTAATGAACACAGAGCAGGGAATGAATGCCCAACTCAACATTCCTGTCTGTCTATTTTTTCTTTGAACTATTAGGAGTTCATTTTAAAAAGATAATGCTAATGTTCTTATACAAGAGGCAACTGCCTTATGGGTATAGGGACACACTGCACCATCTGAATACATGGCATCATCAGCCAACCTGCATGTTTAACCGAAGGTGATCATGACAGGGAAAAGCCAATTTCTTGTCAAAATTCAGGACAACAACGAATAAATAAACAGGCCCCATGAAAAAAATGTTGATGAAAATCAAACTGCTTTGAGCTTCACAAGGAAGAAAATGTTTCAGCAGTAATTAGTGTCAGATGGAATTTGGGTTAAAAATTGGCAAAACAGTGGATGAGCTCAGCATTGTTATAACCAGGTATGCTTCAAAATTCTATGCTGCTTAGCATCCTCCAATATGATTCTAAATGAGAATGTGGTATTGGACAGAGAGCAACAAGCTTGCTGACTAATTTCTACCTTTTTTTTACCTGTTGTTTGAACATGTTGAGATTGTAACTTCTAAAACTAAGGACCTCTGAAATTCATCTATATATATATATATATATAAAAAATTATGATTTCAATGTTATCTTGATTCCTGAATATCCATATTACATGCCAAGCACAAGAATCAAGAAAACAAAAACCCTTTCAGGAAAAGGTATCATATGTACCTTGCATTCAAGCTGAAGCTTCGCAACCCTTCGAGCTGTATCTTGCAATTGAGTAAAAAGAAAACCAAGTTCTTCCCTTGGTTTTGCAGCATCTTGGAGTTTTTCCTGCCACACAAAGCATGAGAGAAGAGAGACCATTTCCTCCACTTTTATGTCCTTGAGAACCCCATTGAACATGAGCTCTGTCAAAGTCAATTCATCTGCACTACTAATTTCACACGCAACTTTCCCCTTCAACTGCACCACGTCGTCACTCGTGATATATCTGCAGTTGCAGTAAATTCACACAAGAATTCTGGTGTCATTGCTGAATAGTATAGTCGCATAAAGATATAGAAAAAAATGATATTACAGACTTGCATTGTAGTTTTGCAGCTAAGAGAACTAGACATCAGTCAAAATGCAGAAGAAAGAACTCTTCTAAATAGATCAGGTTTCAACAATCATCAAATTCCATGGGCAATTTATTTTTTCTTTCAATGATATGGCGTATTAAGATTCCAGAGCCCAAACAATGAGTTTTCCATTAAATGCAGAGTCAAAATGTACTAAGAAATAACAAGTATATAGATTGTTAAAGAAATTGTTTTCTTCCTGTTTTGCTTGTAAAAAACTCCTGTTTGACTGTTTATATCATTCTGAAAATTTTTTTTTTTTCAGATTGCTTAAGTCATAAATTTCAAGAGGTAATGTCCTTTATAATCTTCAGTGAAAAAAAAAAACCAATCCTTAGATATGAAATTTTAGAATTTTTATCTAAAATATCGTAAAATGCAATAAGTCACATGATCATAAAGGCAGTTGCAAATGCAGATTGAGTTGTCATTTTGCATAGAGTGCAGACAATATGCACAAAGAAGGAGGATAGAGGTTTTTTGTTCATAGGTAAGATGAGGGATTGAATTCATAAAACCCAACTCTCATATCCTTCTCAATATAACTGAAAAAAAAAAAAAAAAAAAAAACAGAAGGAAAAGAAAGAAAGGCAAAACCCCAATATCAGAAACCAAAGAATAAGCTTTCCCTTTTAACTATCTCATGGCCTGAGAGAGGGAGAAAAAAGACAGATAAAGAACTATTGAAACATAGGCCCCAAACCAAGACAGAAACATAAAATAATCATAAAAATCCTTCCACCTAACCTCAGTGCATGCGACCTAGGCATCTACAAAATCCAAACCATGCAGAAGTAAAGTGAAAATATTTGAGAATTTTCTTACCCAAGCCTCCGGAGAACTCGTTTTCTAGATTTAAGTTCATCTTTAAAAGCCAATGCAGTGGAAGAGCGCATTGATTTCCTGATCATCTTAATCCTAGCTGTTAATTCTTGCTTCATGTGTAAGACTTTGAGCTTTTCCTTGATAAGTGGAGATTTTGCAATTTCATGTTTTTCAAACAGCTGCTCTAAAGCCTCTATCCGACGGACTGCCTTTTTGTACGAGCTGCTTTGAATCTGAAGAATAACAAAAAAGTGGGCAACATTGGGTTTATTTATATATAGCAATGAAAGCCAAGTAAATGACAATAAAATAAAATAAAATAACAAGCAGAAATGATATAGGAAATACATTCATGTCTCCTTCAGGATCCAGGGGCAACCCACTAGGCTTTCTAGAAAGAAATTCTGAAACCTGCTTCAGGGTGTTCTCTCGAACTTCTAATGGCAAAAGATCCTTTGACATATACAAGCGAGCACTGCTCAAGATATTTATCTGTCCAAGACATAACATTGTGAGACAATCATTCTTACTGTGGGATAACATCCATGATGTTCAGACAAGCAAAGAAGTAAAACGCATCAGAAAACAACATTTTTACAGGAATGTTTTTGCCCAGATAACTTCACAACTACGTCGTTACTGAGACACAGGTATGCCAGTCTTCCACATCCAACAGTTGAATTATTATTTAGTTTCACACTAAATGCTAGTTCTGATAGTCAAATTCAACCCTTTTGATTACCAAGAATTTTGGGAGCAAACAGATTTTAGTACTCAAGTCATTTCAGTTCATGATACCTTTCTGCCATGACTGGAAAAATTGAAGAAACAGATTCAGGTCAGTTCCACTACTGCAACTTACAATACAAACAATAAATAAATTGGAGATTGGAGCTTGTAAGCAAGTAGAGTATAAACTTTCCCTGATACGAACGGAAACAACGACTGGTTTTACAGGCACCTTTGACTTCTACAAGCAATATCTATAACTATTAATCTATAGGAGAAAAGAAAAAGAACGAATGAATGATTTAAAAGAAGGCGTTTTCTTCCTTAAATAAAGTACATATATGAGATACACAAGACAAATTAGGTAAGTCATAAAGAACAAAGATATAAGAGTCTCCAAGGAAATGCTTTTCCTTGGATAACATTATAATTAAGTCACTGGTTAATTAAATCAAATAAGATTTTTAAAACTAAAACAAAAGAATTAATAGAGCAATTTAAGTAAATGCACTATATCATGTTAGAAAGAAGAAGAAGAAGAAGTACTATTGAAGAAAAATGTCAGTTGGAAACATAAAATGACAACGACCTTTATAGGACAACTAAAATTACATGACCTACGTCACAGAAAAATTAAAAGATTGAAATTTCCAATTCAATTTATGATTTCGACATTAAGTGACAGATAAACAAGGTGAATATGGGAGACATATTTAAACAGCATAGTAGTGGAAAGGGCCTACCTGATCAATAGGAATAGAAACAACGAGAGGTTCTCCAGGCTCTTTCAGCGGGACAACCTTGATTTTTTTCTTGGCAACTCCATCTTTGGTCACAACACATCTTGTAAGAACATCAACAGTGTAGTTTGCATTTTCTGGTTTTCTGCCTGCATCATCTGCATCAACTACAAATAATAAATAAATTCGACATAGAATGCCACAGCAAAACAGAAACAATAGAAAAAAATATTACCATCTGAAACACCTTTCACTCGATCAAAGTTGACTATCACTCCCCATGTGACCAGGTCTTCCATCGAGAAAGAAGGGGACTTGTCATCACTTTCTATGCACTGAATACACACTAGTCTGCCAGATTGCAAATAGGGCAGGCAGTGCTTAGGAGAAAACACAATATCACGAACATCCTTCTTCAAACTTTTATACTGATGTATCAGATCATAATAGTTCTTCAGATTCTCTTCCTCTTCAATTATCATTGAATTCCTCTCTTCTTCAAGGGCTTTTGCTTGTTTCTGTAGACATAACATTTACCATCAATTAAAGAGTCCTTTAGTTAAACATTTGGTTCTGAAAGTAGATTTTTTTTTAAATAACGCACAGAAAAGGCCACAGTATATGGCAAAAACAAGGATCAGGCAGGCCTTCAGCAAAAACAGGGATTTTTCCAGAGGTTGCTTGTAAAAAAGTTTATGACTTTGCACATGCATGCTTTTCCTTCAATGTTTGACCTAGGTCTCTTTCATCTACAAATCAAAGGTATTATGGCTAGTTTCCTGGTATGTCTTAGATCCTTGGACATCAACCAGAAATTGTTTTGATAAAAGAATTGTAAAGAAAATCAGAATTCATATTTACAGAAGGGAGGAGAATCCAAAAGAAAGAAATAAAAAGACAAAACAAAAATTGGGGACAATAAAAAAGGGAGCTCTCAAATCATTTTGAATATTGGATAGCATGGATCCTGATAATGTAATTCTATCCCATAAAATTGTTTGGACAAGGAGCAGAGTGGTTCCAAAAGCTTAATTGCATTCCTCTCTGTACACAAGCACCAGAACATGAAGAGAACCACAAAAGTACATAGTAACTTGCAATTTTTTTCCTTTTCTCAACCCAACCCAGCAGGTGTTGAACACCTCATCCAACTTGTTCTCTCTAACCCAACACCACCAGTAGAAAATAGTCTAGCCAGCATCTCACAAGCCATTGGGCACTGTAGAAAGAGGTGATTATAGTGGTCCTAAGTTCCTAACTGTTAAAAGAGTATCACATAATTATCAGACAGTTTTGCACGGTCTCCTCACTTGAAGCAAATCATTGGTGCTGGTATTATTACGAAACACAGCCCAAGTGAACACCTTCATCTTAGAGGGCACTTTGGCTTTCTTCTTTTCTCCCTCTCTTGAGCAATAAGTACTTGTTAATGCTCACATTTCACTTCTATGAGGAGAACTCACTGAAAACATTTTGGAACCTCCACTTAAATGGCAGGGAAACCAAAAACAATAAGCCTCTTGTTTTTTGCATCCTTCCCAAAGCATACACGTAGATAAAGTGGCATCAAGTATTATATGGCTTTCAAAATACCCAACACCCACAAATCAAGGAATAACAAAGACAAAAAATCTAAATCAAAATGCCACCAAAAAACCTAGTAATTACTAGCCTGTGTAAAAATCATCTGTCCACAACATCAGGAGTGAATCATCTACCAATCAATTGGTCCAAATAAAACTTGACATTTCGTATCTTTTTTTTCCTCTTCATAAATTTGTATGGATATATCGTATCTTTATGTGATAACCAACTAAGTTCTTTAATTTTACCGTTAATGGTTAAAATTGAGCGCTCATTCTGAGACAACAAAAAGAAAAGAAAAAGAAGAACAACAACAGATCAACCATAAAATCTCACAAACTTTTTATCTTCTATGAAAACCAACTGACCTCAAGATCAGGAAGGGCCCTGTCTGCTTGAAACTGAAAGAAAGAGTTGCGGAGCAAATTCTCAAGATCACCATCTTCGCAGCGCATTTGATTTAAAAGCATGTTGTAGCTTAGATGGAAGGCACTGGAATTCAATGGAAAAGGACATCAACACAAAGAACTTCAAGAGAGTTAAAAGGAGGAAAAACATAGCACTTAGCATTCAAAGCTGAAACCAACAGAGCTCAAACTAGATTTCCCTTTTCATCATTTTTACTTGTCTCTTAGAAGAAGATAGTCCATATTTTAGTCTCTTAGAAGAAAATAGTCCATATTTCAGTTTTCCATCCACATCAAAAACCAAGTTCAGTTTATGGAACCATCAAATTGCAGCAACATGCCCCACTCATAACCAATACCAGCTCATGTCATTGAAAATGCATAACGAGTCTATTTAAGAATAAGCCAACACTATATTGGCAGATGCAGGAATTCCCAGCAGTTGATATTACCATAAAACCATTATAGAGGTAACATGAACATCCCAAGTACCTGTTCAAACTATCTGCACTTCCTTTAAGCATCATCTTGGCAGTAGAAGGCTCAAGCTTCTCATCCACCATAAGGATACATACCCCACGCTCATCAATTCCTCGACGACCAGCCCTGCCACTCATTTGAATGTATTCTCCACTAGATATCCACCTAAACTTGTCGCCATCAAATTTACGGACATTTGTAAATACCACAGTTTTTGCAGGCATGTTCAAACCTATGCTGAATGTCTCTGTAGCAAACAAACACTAAAGAAAGATGTTTCAATCATCACAGCAATCATGAAACAGAATGGAAACAAGAAACAAAAAAGGTTGGAATAGGACAAAAAGCTCCCATAAACCAAACAGCATTTGGTAATTAAAAGTTATGTTCCAAATCAATGAGCAAACAGAAAGCATAAGAGTTCAAAGAACCTAATGACATCTCAAGACAAAACAAAAATAAGCACCCAATTCATAAGTAACCTATGATAATTGACAAGCTGAGATAGTCTACTCTTTCAGAACAAAAACTTCAGAACAGCTAGGGGATTCGGCAATTACTAGATGCAGATTTTTCATGAGGCTACTTAGGTGAACTATAAAAGAAATGAATAGCAACACACATGAAAGCTTGGAAGATATGCATAACCACAAATGACATTTAAGTTATCTCCCAACCTTGATCAATCCTTCTTGAAACAAAATCTCAATCACTTCCTTCAGGATGGGAAGCAAGCCAGAATGATGCACACCAATACCTCTTTTTAAGAGGGGTAACATGTTTGAAACCTGCATACAAACATTTAAATGGTATTGATTAATATAGAAAACAACCAAGCACATCAAAATGCTAGGAAAAAAATGGAGAACTACAAGGAGTGAAGGCACACATTTTTGTCAGGCTTGCAAACACATAGTATTTCTTATATTAAACCTTGCAATCATGTACACACCCATTAAGTCTCCTGTGAGAGAGAGACTCTAACTGAATATGAGAACTGCCTCCTTTATATCTTTCCCTTGTGAGAGACTGACAATTCTTCAAATGAAATGTTGGAAATGATAAATCAAGGGATTCCACTAGACAAATCAAGACGCAGCACAATATCATTCATAATCAACTAATGGATAAAAATTGGTCTAACAACAATGAAACCTAGATGTTTTACGCAAGCTCCTAAATATTGGCTGCTAAAATTTAGCACAGCTGAGTGTCATAAAACTTCTAGTCTCTGAAGTGTTAATATCACAGAAATGGCGAGAGAAAAGGCAAACAAAGTTAAATTTCAAACTGTAGCATGTTATGAAAGCACAGCCAACAAATGCACTTAAAGTCTTCTGCTTCCCCTGTATGGCCCCCCAAAGGCAAGAATCATGATGCAGTCATGCAAAAAGAGATCCATAAAAAAATTTATTTTGATTTTTAATTCTGTTAGTTCTAGTTTTTCTTGATTCACAAGAAAAATTAGGCATTTGTCCTAGAAATCTTATTAACATTTAGATTACTAATTTCTATTATATGGGTTTTCCTTTTCTTATTTGGTTTTAGAGCTATTAGGGCCTTATTACGTTTAAAAGGAGCACTGATTCTTGATAATCATAAGGATTTTGATTATGAAATCAAGTATTTTGGTATAGTTTAGGGGCTGCATCGGAGACTTTTCTCTCTTTTCTTTTTTCTCTAAGTGCAATTTTCTTCCTCATCCTTTCTCTTCTATTTCTATTTCTTTATTGCCACAGGAATCTCGAGTTACTATTCACAGCTGTGGTGACAACCTAAAATTCTTAATTCTCCAAGCCTAGCAGACCAGGAAACATTTGCAGGGGCACAAATCCAAATTTATGCTACAAAAAATCTCTGCTTGGGTCACAAAGCCATGAAAACTCTACATGGACATTTAAACCACAAGAAATGCTAAAAACCAGAAATGTGAATGATATTTTCTGATAAAAGATGAACAAAAATCATTAGAAGAGAATCAAAGCCGATTTACAGAAAGAAGAATAAGATATCCTCCAAGGTGAGGAAAGACAGTGGGGAAAAAAATGTCAGATGGAGATATTAAATATTTCATTCATGAATATGTGGAGAGAGTGAGTGTGTATAGGTTAAAAAGATAACCAAGAAATACAAAATCAGATCAATACATCAATAACAAAGAGGGAAACTCGGAGTGTCTCATATTGAACAGCCTTTCAAAAACAGAATCCTTAATAGTACTTACTAGTATCCTCACATACACAGGATTTCATTTGACAAACAGAACAAGAGGAAGAAAACTTGCCTGAGGTAGCTTCTTGTCATCATCCGATAGCATGTCCATGGCACTCCAGAAGATGGTTTCTATGTTTGCTTTCTCATCATCCTGATTTAGATCCATTTTTGCCATCTATAGTATCGAACAGAAGAGCAACTGGTTTATTCAGAAAAAGCAAGGAAATGCCATGTATGATTACACATGTCTTGTGTTTGAAGATATGGCAAGCAACACAAAGGACAGCAATTTGAACCCTGATGGTCATATAGAGTTGCTTCTAGAGCATCACCTAAGGTATGGGTAACAAGAACCCAGGGCTCACTGAATAAGATATGGGCTACGTTAAAAATAATGAAGCCTGAAGGCACATTGGGGACCAGGAGCACAGAATTACTGGAAAGGGCGAGGGAGAATGAGAATAAAAGCTATAAGTTTTGCAACAATAAAGGAACTTACCTGCATGGCAAGAAATTCACATTCTCTTTTGCTAAAAGAGAAAAGTATGACAGGATCGTACTGGCGGCGAATGATCATTTTTACCATCTTAAATATGTCACTTTCTTCACCAAGTTTGCTCACATTTAAGCCTTTCTGCCACTTCCCGTTGTCCCTTTTCTTTTCACTTTCAGCCTTAGGAACTAGAGCATTCACAGCTTTCTGAAAACTGTCCTCTCGAAAGTTTGCCTTTTCATCCACGACTAGGTACAAGCCCTCACCTCCAGAAGGAAAAATATAGTGTTGGAGTGGTGTTGGTCGATAATCAGTATAAACAATGTGGCATGGTTGTTGGTGGACCTGGAGTAACACCATAGATTTAATCAAGCATATTTTCCCAATAAGCAGTTAAATTGGTTTTGGTTCGTTGCTTTGCCAAACAGAAAAATGAAGATCCAACAATTACACAAGAATAATCTACATTAATGTGAGAAGCTTAGCATAATGTCCAAAAACTGCACCCCTCCATTTTTTCTAATGTCACAATATCAAGAAAATCAAATGGAGGGCCATGTCTTCGCTGTTATTGACATTCGGTTTTAACTTTTAACCAATAACAAAAGGGCGGTTTGAGCTAACTCGTTTTTAAAAGGTCTTTGACAATCTTTGATATGCACGTATAACATAAAAAGACAAAGAGGACAAAGGATAATAGCAATCACAAAGAATTCAAGTCCAGAATTGCCCCTCAAATTCATTTGAATCATTACTAAATTAATTTGTGCAAACAGTTAATTATTTATTGTTATATGAAATACAGCAATATGTCCATTGTTGAGCATGTAAACTTGCTGTGCTATAGCATATGCATTTTTTTTATTTTACAAGACTAGAAGGAAATAGTCTATGTAGTCGCCTAAAGTGTAAAAGCTAAACCACTAAATTTGTTATAACCAAAATACTACTAACGTATGATGACAGCAAGATTCTCAAACATCAAGCATGGTATCATCAGCTGCAAGGTAAAAAGCATCATTTTTACTTGTCCTTAATTAGAAAGCTACATCAGTAAAACATAATGCCAAGAGCAGCATTTTTATTCATCTTTAATCCAAAAGCTGGCACTTAGCAAGTGTAAGTAACAAGCAAATCACCTTTGCAACCCAATCAGCAAATTCTTTGGCATTAGGCACAGTGGCAGAGAGGAAGACAAATCTTGCATTCTTGGGAGCCATGAGAATGCTTTCTTCCCAAACCACACCTCTTTCTCGATCACGCATATAATGAACCTCATCAAAGATAATCCAAGCTACTTCCCTAGTAGTTTCCGACCCTTTATACTGCATACTACGCCAGATTTCTGTAGTCATCACCTGAAAAACCAAGCTTGAACATCTTAGAAACCGTATAATCAGAATTCTCCAATACAAAAGGCAAAAAAAAAAAAAAAAAAAAAAAAAAAAAAAACCCACCAAGCAAGAAGCATTAGGGTCAATGGTGACATCACCAGTCATGAGACCGACATCGGAAAACTCTTCCTTGAACTCCCTAAACTTCTGATTGCTAAGTGCTTTGATGGGTGACGTGTAAACAACCCTTTGATTATTCTTCAAACACATAGCAATTGCATATAATGCTACGACTGTTTTACCAGCTGATGTGTGAGCTGAGACCTGTCAATGAGCTCATTAAATAAATAAATAAATAATCACTCCATAAAAAATAAAAAAGATAAAAGAGTACCATGACAGACTGGCCATTGTCAAGGCAGCTAATTGCTTCAGACTGAAAAGGGTCGAGACTGAAAGGAAATTCCTTTACAGGTTTAGAGTCTTTTTGAATTTGAATAACTGAAGAAGGAGGAGGAGGGGCATAATTCTCTGGATACGACACGTCGTGTAGACAGGCAACTGCTCCACCGTCCCCAATAATTTTTGAACTGCTGTCGTTCTTGTTGTTGTCTTCTCTCTGTTGTTTCTGTGGAGGAAGAAGAGGATGGTCCTCTTGTTGACTTTCAATGGATTTTCTCTTCGCTGACGCCATTTCAATTTTGAATTTGGGAAAAACTGAGAACAGCACACAAAAACCCTAAACCCTAATTCAATTCAATGCTTAGCAGAGGAGGCTGCGTTTTGATATTGGATCAATGGAAGCAGGGAGAGTGCGGAAACGACGGCGTTTCAAGTAAGCTGAAGGGGTTTGAAAAGGAATTTGGGCTGAGTTATAGGAATACGCGGGCGTGGGGCGTCAAAAAAGAGATTTTGTTATAAAAAATAAATATATATATATATATATATATTTGTTTATAAGTATCTATTAAAAATAATTTTAATTGTAATTATAAGTTTGCAAATAAATTATATCCATAGATTTTATAAAGTAAGAAAGATATCAACTTTAATATTTTGAAAAGATGGCATTATGAATTGGGAAAAAAAAAAACCAATTTCAGAACTATATCAATGATTTGCATAATTAAAAAATTAAATCAATTATTTATACTGAAATTTGACATTGTCCACGAAATTGAAGTTTTTGAATTTTCGAGTACAATTTAATATACTTAAAAGGAATAGGAAAAAAATGATGACATAAATAATTTTTTTTAGATATTTAGCATTAATACTCTTTATATTCGTTTCTAATTTTTAGTATATTTTGATTCAGAAAATCTTAATTATCGCATAAATAATTTATTTACTTAACTTATTTTTTCAGAACCTTGTTAAATTATCGGATAAATAATTTATTTACTTAACTTATTTAATTAAACACTTTATTTGTGTTTTTTCTCACATTGATCCATATGGCAATTTTATCTTCCTTGTTTATTTATAAGTTAATATATGCATATAATTCACAAATTAATTAACCTCTACTTAAATATAACATATATTAACTTATTTAATTATTTTAGTTAATTTTCAATTAATTAAAAACCATCTCTAATATATTTGAATATGAACGATAAAAGAATTCGTGACTTCCGAAAAAATTCAAGTGTATTTACTAATAATAATAATTATTATTATTATTATTATTATTATTATTAGCTGTGCAAATGCAATGTAATTCCCCCATAATAAAACTGACAGAGCAGTACAACTTATTGTAGGTAATATCTGCTAATTTTAGCAGCAAGTCAAGCCTTACACCTTCGATACTTAGCTGTGCCCTTTGAAACATGAGAAATCCTGCCCGTTTTCGTAATAAAATCTGAGTTGGAATCTGTTCTAGCTTGAGTTTGCCAGGTAGCCAGTAATTTATATGCATATATATATATATATATATAGATAGATAGATAGATCACAGGTTTTCTTTTCTTCACCTTTCTTTCTTTTTTTCCTGGAAACGATAAGGAAAGGAAGAATGATTACTCCTCGCCTATTTCTTGTCTGCATCATCCTCTTCTCTTTGGCAACTGCGACACCGGTTTCAGCATTTATGTCTTGGTTTAGGAAGCGTCCCAGGCAAAACGTGACAGTGATCAACGAAATCGAGGAAGGAGTACCCATGGAGACTAATTGCAAGACATTATTCAATGATAAAGGCTTGATCAATATCACTTACGGAGGATCTTTTTCTTGGGATTTTGTTCCTGATGTATGGGGGACATCATCTTATTGGTGCAAATTTACTTGGAATGATACAATCTCTAAAGAAGAAGTTTCAGCCATCCTCTTGGTTTTTGATGCAATGAAAGGGGATGAAAGGTCTTGTGCTCCAGAATGTAGGTGGACGATCACATCAAAGGGATACAGATTCTGGGATGGATTCCTGACTTGGGGAACATACTCTGAGAGAAGGTTGAAATAAAAACATCGTCTCATATCAGGGCATGCATATATCTATGGATTATTGATGATATTTATTCTCTCTTTTTTTTTGGGTCAAGAATCATGAATGTAAGGATATATGGATTATGGAAAACAACATTAATTTGCAGCAACTCAAATTGGTGATAGATAGTTTATTTCATGACAAGGTGTGGTGTGCTAAATAAATGGAAGATCGGCTGTGCTCACTGCCCTTTTTCGTAAGTTCTAGCACGTTTTCAAATTCCTCATGTGTAGCAAGATTTCATTCATATTTACCTTTCTTTGGATCAGTTTAAAATTTGTAACTTCATAGCTTCATATGAAATTATTAAGTTATTGTGTTATTTGAACGTTTGTCTGGGTACCTGCTCAATTAGAAAATAAAAAACATAATGTCAAATCACATTTATTATATGACGGAATGGTTGATATTTAACAGAAATGGAGTATATTTATCATCATTATACGCCTTTATAAATAGTACAATAATATTTTACATTAATAATACTATTATACGTTATTATTGTTATTTAGTAGATAAGAACCGTTATATTAAAAAAAAATCAATTCTTTGTATTTTATTGTTATTTGCGTAATATTAAACTATTAAAAATGTTATTAAATTTTTTTTTGGTAATAAATTCCAATTATTATATGATATAAACTATTAAAAATATTATTATTATACTTAATTAGTACAGTTAAAATATGAAAATAAAAATAAATTTAATAACAACTACTAACCTATTAATGTATTCATAAAATTAGGTGTTGCGACCATTATTTTATTATCGTAATAAACTGCAATCCACAATGATAATCACAATCGTTTTTACAACAACAGTCCCTCCTGTGTTAGTAAGCATGGGTGGAGAGAAAATGTGGCATCCAAAGGAATGTCTTGAATTCTAACAGATCATTTCATGATCCAAATTATAATACCAGATGTGAAATCATAATTAGTACTACAACAGTGCAATTAAAAACTGACACAGTTCAACTTTAGATTCATCAAGCTGATTTGAAACAAAAGGATGCCGAAAGACACAGACCAACGATCTTACGAAACCTCATATGTTAACACCAGAAGCAGATGAATGTGATTACAAGTAAAGAGTGCATAAAAAACCAATATCCAACATCATAGATAAATGCATCTGCACATTTTAAGAACTTCTGTTGGATAATGCTGCTTTTTACATTTGCCTTTCTATAATTACAACAGCTGCATTTCCAGGTAGCCAAAACATCATATACTCTTATAATAAAATCCACATTCTGCTGATGATGCTGCGCAACAAGAAAGGCTACTGTTACAGTCCAGAGCGTAACTATATTTAGATTTGAGACTGGTGGCTGCCTACAATTATGAATTGTATTCCTTGTCATCCAGTCTATGGCCATGGGATCTTAGCTTTGCATGCTGGTTATTGGTTTTCTTTTCCTTTTCTGGGCTCTCTATAGGAGAATCTCTTCCCTCTTCCAAGCGTTTTGAGTGTCTCTTATGCCTTGTCCGGTTACTGCTCCCTGATTTGCTTTCATCATAAAGCTCAGCAGAGGTTCTGTCCCAGGAGCTTGATGTACCAGCATACTTATCATCACCAACTGTAAGATCACTTCTAGATTTGTGGTGTTTCCCAGAAGCAACTGTTCCATATTCCCAAGCACCTCTCTCCATCTTTTCGTTATAAGAGTAACTTGAATTGTTATCATGAGATTCAGATCTTCCATCACACTGACTGCCAGACTCGTAACGGTCAACACTGACAAATGTTCTTCCAAAGTTCTGGTCTTTCTCAGAGCTTTCGGGTTTCCAACGATCCTGCTCGTCAATTTCTTCAGAAAAGTTGTATCTTGAATCAGGACTGTATGATTCCCATCTTCCACTACATTGTTTCACCTGGCCATACACATGGTTCCCATCTGGTTTAGGACTGTCAACAGGAAAATTCACCTCACCACTCTCTCTGCTTGAACTATTTCTTCTGGTTGAGTGACCACCTGTTGGGTTTCTTTGTAGGTGAGATTTTCTTATGTCAGATTCACCAACAAGAGAATTGTCTTTCAACCTCTTCGCACTTACACCTTCATCGTCTGAAAACTCTGGTTCACTGTGCTTCGAACGTTTCCTTCCACAGCTGAGATGCCTTCCCCTGTCCCTGTCTACCAGATCGTAACTGGAATCAGTACCATAAGTTCTGGACCCATTATCCCAATGATTATCAGGGAATTCCAAGACATCGTTCTGGTTTCCTGAGCTTTTGCTTACGAGATAATGGTGTCTGTCTCTGTCCCTAGGTGAGCACTCTCTGCTGGAACCAATATCAAGAGTTCTACTCTCACCATCCCCAAGATAATCAGGGGACCTTACTCTCCTCTGGTGTCTTGAGCTTTTCCCCGTGCAATTATGCCATTTTTCTTTATTTATGTCCCCATCCAACCTGTATCCGTCAACTCGATGAGCCTCATCCTTCCTGTCTCTGTTATCATCTACAAAAGGCCTCTTTGCCCGAAGTCCTGAGCTTTTGGTGGAACCAAAATGTTTATGCCTGTTTCTGCCATCATCTGACAACTCCTCGATTTGATCAATCTCACGGGACTTGTTATTATTCTTCACATAATTAGGTGAGAGTTCTGACACTTTGCTATGGTGTCTTGACCTTTTCTTTGCATGATAACGATGCCTGTATCTGTCTCTGTCTCTGTCTCTTTCTGTGTCATTATCCGACTGACCCCCATCAGAATTAGATCCATCATCTTTTGAATGGCTTCTCCAGTGAATGCCTTCTGGGACATCATCTTCAATGTCGCTGCTTTTATGAGAGCTATGGAATGCATGATCCATGTCTCTAGACCTAGATCTACGCATACGATCGTGCCTGACATGGAAAATTAGAGAACAATAAGGAAAGAAAAAGGTTGCTAAGTTTGAGTAGAAGGAAGGAGAAACCTGAAATGCACACCATTTACATGTCTGTAAAGAGAGGAGAGAGGGAAAAAGGCACAAGGAACCTTTCCTTCTCCACACAATCTGGAATGCAGAAAGACTAGAGCAACCTAAAAGTCTGCTTTAAAAGATTATAGCAAAAGGAGCACATGATCTCAATAAAGCCTTGCATTTGGCATGCATGAAGCTTACTTAAAACAAAGGAAAGGAGAACACATGTCAAGAGCTTTACAAACAAAGGTCAGTTATACAACAAATAACTTCGAAGATTGAACACAGAACTCAGGAACAGAATTTTACAGCTATGCAGGAATATCAGAACCAATAGCTACAGCTTTTACCTACCCTCTAACTTCGGTGTGTGAAGTGTATAATCATGGAATCAACTATTATAAAATCTTCAATCAAAAAGCACAGATTATAACCACAAAATTTAGATATACTTGGAACCATATTCAGATCTTGTGCCAGAACTATGAGCACACCTGTCTCTATCTGCTGTTAACATCTTGCTAGGCATCCTCATTTGCCTTAACTTTTTTTGCTCCGTGCGCTTCTCATACAAAGATTCAGCAGAATAACCAAATAAAGCGACCATCTTTTCCACCCAATATCTTGGTGGTGGTTTATCCCAATCAGCCCATTCATAGTCCCCACCAGGATTGTGGAAACAATGAATAAAATTGCAAGCCGATCCATGAGAACATGTCTGTTAAGATGCAGGCAAGAAAAATAGTCAAATATGAAAGGAGATAAACCACAAATTAGCAGGAACATAATACTTTATTACCAGAAGGCTGCTTCATTTATGTACAGGAAAGACAAAAAGTTTTTTCATTGCTCCAAAACAAATCTGACATTATCTATTTAACTAAAATGTACAGATGAAACCCCACATTGGCCAGTAAATTGAAAATAACCCAGTAAAGGAAAAACAGAGAAAGTAAGCGAGCTAGTTGCACCTTTAGCCTTGACTTCATAAACTCTCCACATATGGCGACCTTCCATCTGGTCACATTGATAAATTCACATTTTACCTGTCAATAACCGTCATGGGAACCACAGTAAATATCTTTGAAGAGCTATTGACCCATATCTGTGTGACTAGACTTTTGAGTATATTTAATACCTGTTTGCCAGCAAAGTAGCGACCGTTGACAGAATGATAAGCAAGCACAGCTGAATCCAATGACTTATAGTGTATATATACATTACCCCGCAAGTGGAATGAACCGTTTTTACAGACCTGAGATAATATAAAATTCATGATTCTAAGGAACACAAAAATTCAGACCTAAAAAAATAATAATAATAAAGAACAAGCATTAACTGCCATGCTGCAAAAGCGTGCTACTTCTGTCCTGATTATATCTATAGGAGAAAAATAATATCAACTTCATATTATTTACAAAACTGATTGCTTCCTTCTCATTGGGCTCCATATTTATCCATTTAACAAATAAAAATCCCCAAAATTTGAAATAACAAAATGTTCAAAAGGAAAAGCAACTTAATAAATTCCTCAAGGGTAAAAAGCAAAGAAGACTTGGATAATGAATCATTCGCTAGTAGAAAGAATAGACAGCAGTTAGTGACCTTAAAATTAACTAATTCTCCATACTTCAAGAACTCTGTATGCACATCCTCGTAAAATTCTTCATAACAGCGTTCAACCTCATCATCTGTATACTGAAAAAGAGAAAATAAACCAGCTCAAGAACAAACTTTCAGTTAAGAGATATCTACAAATATCTTGGATCAAAGGAATAAATCATGGATGAGACTAGACTCTCAAGTAGCATATTGCATAAGCCCTGTACCCTCAACAATATAAAACCAATAGCCAAGTATAAAGATGGAATAGCTTAGGCTTTTTAATTGATTAATTAACATGATATAGGACAAAATCTTGTCTTTGATCCAGACTAGCCCTGCTACCTTTGACGTTGGCCCTCACTCTTAACAGGTTCTACTTTTGCAATGTTTAGTTTTTTAAAAGTAAAAGTGGTTTAACTTTCAACCACTCAGTCGTGACTGAGTGCATAAGCTAAAAAACAGGCCATCATCCTAACTGCCACGAGTCAAGTAAAAAAAATATGGGGATAAGCAAAAAAATGAATGTCCTTTTTTTTTTTTTGCATAAAAGAAGAATATTTTGTAGAAGACAGCCAGGAAAAAAAAATCACCCATGTTTTGTCAGCAGAAAGTTTAGATGGATTTTTTATTTCGTTATATCTTGTAGTCATTAATCATTATCTAAGTTAACAACATCAAGTAAAACCCAGTCCATTCAACTTCAGTTTCCTTTGACACATTCTACTCACTAAAGACCACCAAAAGCATCTACATACAAATAGATTTTGCTGCCTTCAATCTGAAACCTTGGAAAGTAACAACTGTCAGCAGAACACAGCTTCACCATCCCTGGTATTCCCAAAATACTACTAATGTTAAGGAGCTGGTATTCCCAAAATACTACTAATGTTAAGGAGCAAGAAATCTTATCAAAATAAGCCTGTGCCTCGTGTAACTATCAAATGTTCAGAATAATCTCATGCTTAGCCTATATGAGCTATTATTGTGTAGAACAGTAAGGTATGCTAACTGAGAAACATGATTAAAATAAACATTCGTTAAAACAAAAGCAGAATAAGGCAAGCGAGTTAACAGATTTCTGCGACAAGATCTATAGGAAATGTGGCACTAGGAAAAGAGAAGGATGAATGAGATTAGAAATAGCAACATGTTTGATAGATCATTGCATTATATATAGGCATAACAACAAAATTAAGATAAAAAATAACAAAGAAATTCAATGAGAGCCATCCTTAAGTGCAGCCACTAGGAATATAGGATACAGAATAACAAAAATCTTTAACTCCAACTAAAAAAGGCCAACACCATGATCCTCCATTGAAGCGAATCTTGTGAAGAACTTCTGTTAACTCACGTCAAGAATAGCAATAACAATCTCAGGTAGAAAAGAAAAAATTACTACACATTGCTGACACATGATATAAAACCAAACTGCAAAAGGAATGATATGTACATGAAAGTTTCAAATAACAATAAAACACATTTCACTAATCTAAGCAAAAATGAGAGAAGATGAAACTGATTTTAAAATATTAAAGCATAGGGTGTTTATTCATTGAAAAATCTGAGGAACAAAAAGCTAATCCAGGATGTATTGACAGCACTATAATGGGATTCACTTCCTCAATTATCTAATGCAAAGTAAGGTAGAATGCTAAGCGGAGAAAAACTTTTCAGGGGCATGCAGCAAGATGATGAAAACTTGTTACAAAAGTCAATAGCGAGCTCGTTTATTTTAAAAGGGAAAAATGGAGAAAATACATTTTAATAGGTGTGTTAAGAATCAATAAAGTGATGCACAACCTTTCAGCAAAGCTTACAAATCAAAACTTAACATTAGTGGCTAGAATAATTAACAATAGTAACTTCAGATGTACCAACTATGAAGCTACCAGTCTGGCAAATTATTATAAAAAACAATAAGTTTCTCTCTAAGATGTCCAGGACTACTGAAGGTGATCCAATATTTTTCTTTATTATTTCTGCAGAAATTTATTGATGATCTTTTCTAAGAATAGATTGATGAAATGCTTTCCCTAATTCAAGTTACAGAAACACATAAAAGTTTGCTTTAGAAAATCCAGCCACATCGCACAAGTTTGCCAGATTTTCTCATCAGGATACAAGAATCACATGAAGGCAGCATTTTTAACAGACCTCAAGCCCCTCATCTTGCTCCCAAACAAGGCCAGGACCATTATACATGTTCTTGATAAGGATTGTACATGCTTTATCAGGATAAAAATGAACTCTGCTGCAGCGCTGACCAAACCGACAAGCTCCAGTTTTTAAATGGAAAGGACAATGAGCTTTATCCTGCCAAATGTGACCCAAGAGATTAGAGAAAAATATCCTTCATAATGATGATGACCGCCACATTTACAATTATAATATAGAATAACTACCAGAATCAATCAAGTTAACCAAAATAAACTAATCAACATGCAAGCATACCTGTTCAGTTCCAAAATTTGGTACTTGTTGAGCGACATTCTCAAGCATCTGTTGTGCTGAAACAATCGAAGCATTCTGGTGCTCGGCAAAAGCTTCAGATTGTGGAGGAAGAGGATTTGATGTGGGCCTATCAACATCCTGCAAAGTAAATAATAACATCTGCAATCAATACCCCTTCCTCAACCAAAACGGGTAACAGTGATAAAGTATATCAACAATCTAAAACTACATATTGAACAACGTGTATCTTTACCTCTTTTGTACTCTGGCCATCGGCATTCTTCTTTGGAACCCTGACCTTTTTCTTCCTAACAATTATCTCGTTCCCTTGCCAAATAATTTCTGCAGGCCCTTCTTCAATGTATTCCCAATCATCATCCTCATTGCACTCATTCTCCTTTCCATTCTGTCACATTTGACAAACATTGAAATTCAAAAAAAAGAACAGAAAAAACAAAATCGCACGCACTCACATTCATAACTAAAATATTTACCCCCACCCCTGCAGCACACATTCTTTAAACTACCAAATAAATTCAAATCAACTTTAAAAAAAAAAAAAAAAAAAAAAAAAAAAGAGAGAGAGAGAGAGAGAAGAAGAAGAAATAACTACATCAGAAGCACCAAATTTGTTTGCCAAATCCTAATTAACAGCTTCATTTCCTTTCTCATTTTCTCAGCAACCAAACAGAGCTCTAAAGATGATATAGGATTCAACATCGGCTCTAAAACTACCATCTCCAGTCCTAAAAACAATCCAAATCCACCACAAATTAAAAAAGAGCTGAAAATAAATACCTCAAGTAGTCTATTAGCTTCCTCTTCCTTTTCTTCCAGAACCTTCCTTCTTTCTTCTTCTTCTGCTTCTTCTTTCCTCTTCCTCTCCATAACTTGCATCCACTCCCTCTCTCTCTCTTCAAACTCTTTCCTCTCCCTTTCCATTCTCTCCTTCTCCTCTTCCTCCATTTCCTTCAATCTCCTCTGCTCCTCTGGATCGTTGAGTCTCCTCTCCTCCTCTTCCCTCTCCTTCTCCGCTATCTCCCTCCTTGCTTGCTTTCTCTTCAACTTCTTCTTCTCCTTCCTCTTCGCCTTCCTACTCATCGCCATTTTCTCCTCCTCTTCTTCTTCTTTAGCAGTCATTGTTTATTTTCTTTTCCTGGAAAATTATTTATCAGAGAGAAATATAGGGTTTTTGGTTCTTGTTGATTTACTATGCCTGTATTGCCGATTTGCCGTTTCTTGAATTTCAACTGTTTCTTTTTTCCCATCAAAAACGAAACTGCACACCCTAACCCAGTGACGTTTCCCTCTCACCCCTCCTTTTCTTCTTCTGATGAAGGTAAAATAAAGCTACGTCGTATTTAATCCCCTTTGTGTGTGCCTGTATATATTCACTCTCAGTTAAGTCCCAAACTTATAAATTTTATCAATTAGATCCTAAATGTTTCCAAAGATTCTCAAATGTTCATCAATTTTTTTTTATCAATTTTTCTTCATAAATTGTTATTATTATAGTGCATAGATATGCACATTAGATCGAAAATGATAATTTTTATTAACTTTTTTATTAATTTTGTTTTTCAAATTGACCCTATCTTTTAATGATATTGCATAAATACAATGGCTGACTTAATCATAAGGATGACATGATAATTTGAAATAATTAAATTTTTTTTGTGATTGTTTTTGCAAGCTAGAGCATTGTTGTGCAGCCTCGTTTTAGTCCTTTTTCAATGTCAAAATGATGATTGTTGTTAGGTATTGAGAACGAAATATTTTATAATTTTATTTTATCTTATAAAAAAAAAAAAAAACGAGAAACCTTTGGTGGATGATGAAGCTAGCAATATGCTAGCATCCTTTTTTTTTTTTTTTTTTTGGAATTATTACATGGTGAAAAAATTGAAATAAGTCAATACAAATTAATATGTCAAGGACTGTGTATAAGGCAATTCGCTATTTTAATTTTTATGTGGTTGTTTCTGCATGATTTGTGGTCTTTGCATGTCTAATTCTCAGTTACGAATATGACATTGAACTTGTCAGATGGGAGGCCCCTCTCTTTGTTGTAGCTCTCAAGATTCAGGACTGCTAGTTGATTAATTTAAAGTTAATGAGGAGCAGAAATCCAAAAGAAACAGAGAACAGTTTACATACTGTAAATCCTTTTAGCAACTGAAAAACAAAGTGGAAAGAGAGCCTTCTCAATTATGTCCCGTGGAAGTTTTGTTTCATTTTAGTAACTTAGTGGATAGTGTTGCTGTTGTCCGGTAAAGGTTAGCTTCCAACACAGAAGCCGATGCCTTGCTCAGATGGAAAGATAATCTTGGAAACTCGTCCATTCTCCAGTCATTGATCGCCCAGCAAATGCCAATGCCAATTCCAAAGCTATGAATAACTTGTGACGGTGCCAGAACTGTAACGGAAATAGTTCCATCCTAAATCTGACAGTGACTTTATGCAAGCTCATTACTGATAATGTTGTGAAGAATAGGAAGCAGAAATCACCGACACACTACTCAAGAGTCAAACAAGTATCCTACTGCTCTAACCTTGTTTGTGCCACTGAACAGAACCATTATAAGGTTGGGGATATCATCCATGGCCTCCCATGCAGGTGGGGCTACTTGTCATAAAGAGTTTTTTTTAAAAAAAAAAGGTCTTCCTTTGTGCTCTCCTTGTACTTTAAAATATTTCCTGCATATATCTTGAGAATGTCTGATAGTGCCAGATGCAAATTCAGGTTTTTGTATTCAATCAAGTCCAGTGCAGTGATCCAAAAAGCTTTTGAATTACTAAATTCTAGAGCTTGAATGCATGAACTCAATGCAAGGCCCTCTATTTTATCACTCATCAATGCATCATAAATCTTGACCATTCCCCCCACTACCAAGCTCTGCTACTCAAATTCAAAGCTGTAGTGTTCGTTTGGGCCGTCATCAAGCCTCTGGCTTTGCTTCCTAGGCAGGGGGAATGGTGAAGGGCATGGGTTCTTGGTGATTCTCACAATCCTCAGATGTCTTGTCAGATTTGGCGTCCGGTTAAAGAAAGGGAAGCTTGGTTTAGGCTGAACTGGATGTACATGTTAGAGAGCTGTACTGCCAATGCCAGATTGGGCTAAAACACACAGTATCTGCTGCGTAAATTATGATAACACTCAAAAGTATCTGCTGTAAGTAAATTAAACCAAGAGACAAAATTCGATGATTATCAAGAAAAAGAAATTTTCCAACTGATTTCAACCACATTACTTTTGGTTCTAAAGTGAATTCATCCTTGCAAGTAAAAAAGGAACATAGAATACATCAAAATGAATATATAAAAAAGAAATGACCTCAGAAATAGCTGAAGTGCTTCTTAAGGTTGGACCTTCCCATATGCAATGAGCCGAGAGTGTGATAACTTGAGCTCTGCTTGGCGACGCCTTCTCTTGGCTTTCCTGGATAAGTTGCCAGTATCATTTGATTCATCCAACTTTTCTGTCCTATCTTGTTTGGAACCTAGAGCTGAAGTTGACTTGTCTTTGTTATCTTTCGACCTATTCTTCTTATTAAATTTCCCTTGCAAACGCTCCTTAATCATCATCTTCTGTTGGTGTTTCTTAGTATTGGGTACCTTCCATTCATTATCCCTATACGGTGCAAGTTTTTTTATAGAAACATATGTATTCAACTCCTTGTCATCCATGTCTAATATCTCTTCAGTCTTCAACCCAAACCTATTAGGATTCACTTTAGCATACTTAAACCTCGTTTTTAAATCTCCAATAGTATCCTCATAGTCCAACTTGTAGTACTCCTCCAACATTTCCTCTTTAACTTTCTGCACAAGTGACATTTTTCGCTTCCTCTTCCGCTTGCTTTCCTCACTCCTTTCTTCACCATTTTTTTCTTCTTCTTCTTCTTTTTCAGAGTAGTCATCCCCATTTTGCTGCTTTAGTTTCAAACTCCTTTCCCTTGCAGCTAAAAACCCATCAGCAGAGTCAACCATATCCCAGTCTTTAGGAAATCCAAGCAACTCATCCTCCTTATCAAAATCTGGCTTCTCCATCTCACCGTCATCACTTCCGAACCCCAGCTCTACTTCCTCAGCATCATAATACTTGTCATCAAAAGCCTTCTTCATCATCTTATCATACTCATCAGGATCAAATTCGTCCTCCAAATCTAAAGTGAAGTCATTATCATCCTTAAACCCTGCAACCTCCATAACTCTCTTCATCTTCTCCTTCATCTCCTTCTTCTTCAAATTCTTCAAATGCTTCAACTCCTCTTTCCTCTCCATCTCTGCAATCTTCATCCTCTCCTCCCTGTTCTTCCTCTGCTCTTTCCTCGAATTATCCTTGTTCCTCACTGACCCCTCCACTTTCCTCGAATGACCCAACACTCTATCCCCCACACTCTCTTCATACCTAAAATTATAACTCTCCTCATACTTCTCTTGCCTCTCAACCTCCTCCTCATCTCTCAACAACTCATCAACCTCATCTTCCCCGAGACCACCTTTCTCATCTTTCCCAAGCCACATCTTGTTCTTAAAAAAATCCCTCAAAAACATGCTGCCCTCATCCAACTCTCCTTCCCCACCAAAATAATCACCCAACTTCTTCTCAAACTCCACATCATCATCAGCATTCCCATCCCCACTCACCTCCTCATTCTTCCTCTCCTTGACCTTCAAAAACTCATCCTCCTCCCCATCCTCTTCCGCATCCCCCACCGCATCCAAAAACGCTTTTCTTAACTCCTCTTGTTCCTCGTTATAACTCTTCTCCTCCTTCTTAATCGACTGTTCCTCAACAAACTCTGGCCCTTCCTCAATCAAATGCTTCGCCACCACATCCTTCAAATACATAGGTTTCTTTTTCTTATCTTTTTCATTACCGTCCTTAATCTCTTCCTCTTTATCGCTACTGTCGGTTTCATTATCAGAATCAAAGAGTTTCACATTACTGTATAAAGAAGGATCGCGATTTTTTACCTTGAGTAAATTCTCAAAAAACTTGATATCTTTCTTCTTAATATCTGTCTCATCTTCTTCGTCATCCGATGATTCTGATTCTGATTCTGATTTGGAATCGGATTCATCAATCAGGCCTTTCTTTTGCAGCTCTTCGTATCTCTGGAGAGCTTCCCGTTTCTTGTTGTGCTCGTATCTTTTGGCGAACGCCTGGTCAATTTCAATCTTTGATACGTCGTCCTTATTGGCATCGCCGTCATCGTCGAATAGCTTCAGCGGCATTCTTGTCTTTGAATGAATGAATGGAAAAGAGAGAGAAGGGAATTGAGAGAGGTAACTGCTAACGAATTTGAGAGAAGAAGCAAGCAAAAGGAACTAGGGTTTCTAGCCCTATTGGCTCTGTACGAAGCAGACTGGGCGGCGTGTAGACCTTGTGAAAGCAGACTGAACTAGGGTTCTAGACTAGCGACTCTGTCTTCGGTTCGGTGTTGGGAAAGAAGATTTAAAAAAAAAAAAAAAATACTTGACATTTATTTCTTTAATTTTCTTTTCATTTTGTTTTTATACCCAACCAATATTTTTCCTCTTTTATTTCCAGCTATGAGCTATATTAAAAAACAAATGTAGAATAAAAAAAACATTAAAAAATTTTTATTGGCTGGGCCGGTGGGTCAAGATTCTTGACTAAAGAATTTGATTCGGTTATTTTATTGTAAAAAGCCTAGGTTCAGATTGTGGTAAAAAAACCAGAGATGTAAGTAATTAATTTGATCAAATTTTATTGGTTGGACCAGTGGGCCAAGAAGCATTAACTTGATATGCATCTAGTTTGTGAGACTTCAAAACTTTTTTTGGTAAATGAAAAAGTTTATTAATCAAGCAATTTGCGAAAAAAAATATGAATACAAAATACAAAAGATTATTTAAAACTCACTAAAACTCTACATGTTGCTGCTGAAATAGATTTTTTTTAAAAAAAAAAAACAATAGAAAAATATACAGCGAGTCTGCACAGATAATAAAGCACAGCAGGATGCAATTAATCGGGTAAGTATCAAAGCACTAGTACGCATCAACAATGAAGCAATATTGTTTCAAAATCATGACAAAAAAACACTTCCATGGCGAATTAAAACATATACTGCTAGCAGAACTAGCATAGTTCAAAATCATGGCCAACCAATGGGGTATAACTCTGCCAAAAATTAAGTTCTGGTTTGCTCTTGCAGAGTTTATGGTCATCCCATGCAGCAAGCAGAACAGACGACGTACCATCATTGCTTCTTCTCTTCTGCTTTCCTTGGCTGTGGAGGAAAAAAAAGAGTTATAAAAAGGTAAATAGAGGGCAGTGGTGACATGAGAACATGTAAAACAGCTAGCTTGTCAGCACCTAAAAAGCACAGAACCTTTAAAACAGGCTCTCTCAGAGAGCTCATTGACCTGGGTCCAAAAACAACTCGAAGCAAACTCACCATCTACAACCATCTAACTCATTCGCCACTCTTAACAACTCATGCCAGATGAGGAATTTGGAGAAAAAACACAACAGGCTGTTAGCATATAAACAGATAAAAGGAAACAATACTTCCGCAGCAGTGCTGAAAACTTCAAAGAAGCAGTAGCAGAAGACGAAACACAAAATGCAATGACGATTTTGGACACTGTTAAATGCCACAATCCTCATCAACTAGATACATCCAAGCTGATAGAAAAGTTGCCTAAGGCCAGTGCCTGTTATCTTTTCGAACACAAATTATGATTCACAATGTATCTTCTCTCTCTTCCAGTTCCACTAGTGACCCAAAATCAAGAGTGATATGCTTTGTCCCCCAATAATTTGGGCCATCATCAGTGATTCATTTCAATTAAAAAGTAAGTATGATAAACTACTGAATAACTTTGACAATACCCGCTACCCATATGGAAATCACCATGGATGTCATGTTGTTGAATATGAAGTATGTACTAAGTCTTTTCAGAAGTTTTGAAACAAACGATGCCCTCCCTTCTTTCCGATGCGTGCAAAACCAAAGCTCTTTGATCATCATTATCCAAAACTACCAAATATCCCACCAAATCCACAACTAACCTGATGCTTTTCACCAAAAAACTTCATCCATATGACTTCCACATCTTCCCACTTCATAGAATGATTTTACCTGTGTGAATCAGAGCTTTTTTGAGCTCAGCAAATGAACCTTCCAACCAAATCTCCCATTGACCCAAAGAATTTGATTCCATGGAATTCCCTGGCGTTTAAACCATAAAAATCTCTTCACGCAAACAAAGGAATTTAGGCTCTGCTTGTTTTGAAGAAACTAATTACTAGACCACCCTAGTCAACTATTTTAAGCTGCTGCATTCCTAAGTCATCTTCAAGCTCCTTTTTTCTTACAAAGATCTCAACATGAAATATCATAACTTTCGAATGACAGAAAATCACCACCAGTACTAACACCTAGACAATAAGGGCACTTTATTTCCATTCTTCAGTTGCATCAACATTAATGAATAGTTGAACTAATAAAAACAATTCAGATGCTCTCTCTCTTCTTCTCGAGCATACAAGTACAAGTCTACACCCTGCCACATGAAGATAATTAAGGCACTTCCCTGCCTTGCTTAATTAAATGGCATCACCATCTTTCCTTGCTCACTCGGTCCTGCATATTCGTAAACTACATAATTTTTTATTTATTTATTTTTTGTCATTCTCAAGCATCTAACTAATGATACAGAGGGACTGAGCAGCTAGTAATCAACATGAAGAAGCCCTCAAAAAATAGAAAAGAAAAGAAAAGCTGATGCTGATATGGTGATATCGAGACGAGTTGATGATCATAAGAACAAAAGGAAAAAGGACTTTAAAAAAGAAGGAAAGGCATATCCAGACACAACAATTACATCGATAATAATGCAGAAAACAGAATGATGACAAATAAAACAACTGCTACCATGGGGTAAGAATAAAACACACCACCTGTTCGACAAAATGTCCAAACAATAGAAAGAGAAAAGAAAGACACCCAATTAAAAAAACAAGAAACCATCACTTACCTTAGTACCAGGAGCATACTGTTGGAGCTCTTCTACAGGAATAATAACAGGCCACTTCTCTCCAGCTTCACGAAACATCTGCTCGGTCTCAAGATGCTGGCCCTTCTCCAAAATCATGGTCCTAATGGTTTGTGCAGGAGTAGAAGTGGCATCGAAAGCTTCCTCAACGCCGTTGACGAAAGTGACAGTGATCTGTGGTGGGTGGTCGTCGGTGCGGCGCTTGACAAGAACTTGGCAAGAAGGGTTGGATTCTTTGGCCTTGCGGGCATTGCATTGAGCTAAGAATTCCATACATGAGGCTGTGCGTGGGTCTAGTGCGTTGAATTCAATTTTTACCTTTGAGAGGAACTTCAACATCGTTTCTTGCTTCTAATTCTTTCGGAAATCAGCCAAATGAATTGATGTTGGGGTTGAAAGGGAGAAGGTGAAACCCAGGGTTAAAACCCTTGCACAAAAAGTAACTTTTTTATATAAAAAAATTAAATATTAAATTGTTGTTTTGTATAAATGGAGTAAATTATAAATTACTCTCTTTAATTTTAAAAAAATAATTAATTAATCTTGATTATAAAAATAATTATTTAATATCTATATTTTTTATTTTTTATAATTTAATTCTTTCCATATTTTTAATTTATCTTTGTTTTAAAAAATATAAAAATAAGTAAATAAGTAAACAAAAAAAAAAGGATTGATGAGAAAAAAATGATGATGAATAATGGTCAATAGATTAAATATTTAGTTTTTAAAATAAAAAAATTAATTGATTTGTTTTGTATAAAAAATAAATATTAAATTGTTGTTTTGTATAAATGGAGTAAATTATAAATTATTCTCTTTGATTTTTAAAAAAATTAATGAATCTCTATATTTTTATTTTTTAATTTAATTCCTTCTGTCTTTTTAATTTATTTTTTGTTTTAAAAAATATAAAAATGAGTAAATGAGTAAAAAATATGAAAGGATTGATGAAAAAATGATGATCAATACTATTTATTAAATTAAATATTTAATTTTTAAAATAAAGAGACCAATTAATTTGTTTTGAAAAAGAGAAGGATTAATTTATAATTTATTCGTATCAATGCATTTTTTCTTTCTAAAAAATAAAAAATGTATTTCCTTCGTTATACTATTGCATTTTTTTGTTTATATAGATAATTTAAAAAATCAAAATAAGTTTTTAAAAATAAAGAAAATGTTTTTCATTTTTTATTTATAATTTATCTTCTCGAAAATATTAACTTCATTATATAATTACGATCATCGCCATAACACTAATATGTATAAAATTAAAGTATTTTTAAATTAACTATCAATAATTATTTTATAAAAAAAAAAAGAAGAAGAGAAAGAATTTAAAAAATATAATTTTGAATTTGAAAAAATATATTCTTGTTGTTTTTAATGAATTTCAATGTGATTTTTTTTTTAATCTATTTTCCTCCTTAAAATATGTTTATGAAATAAATATTAATAATTAATATCACTCTACTACTATTACTATTGTCACGACTACAAGCATCATCATAAACCATAATACAACCACTAGTAACGTGGTTATACAATTATCATCATAAAATTTATAATATTTGAAAAGTAACTAGTGTAAATTATTTTATATAAAGAGATAAACATAAAGAGAAGAGAGAAATAGGAGAGAAAAAATTAAAAAAAGAAATTCGAGCTAAAGTGAAAATCTTTTTTATCACTTTTGGTATATTCGGATGCAATTCTTTTTTTTTTTTTTTTATGTATCTATCTTTCACTTAAAAAGTGAATCAATTGAATAACTATTGTACATATACACTAGATACTCCTTGAGGTTGTGTTTGTTTGGAGGAAAACAAGTTTCGGGAACTTATTTTTCTCATTTTTCAGTATTTGTTTTGCGTTTAGGAAAAAAGTCAACGGAAAATGATTTTCAATCAATGGAAAACGATAGAGTATTTCTAAAAAAATGTTTTCCCAGTTTAAAAAGAGGAAAACATTTTTTTTTCTCACGAGTCTGTTTCGCTCTCGCGTTACTTACTTCTATCTTTATATATTTTAATAATTTTTTTCTCTATCTTCTTTTTATTTAAAACATATCAAATTCATTTTGAATTATTCATTATCAATTATTATTTAATTATTTTTTCTCTATTTCTACTATGATTTGATTTTTTGATTTATAGACATATTAAATATTCTTAAAAACCATTTTTACACCTTAAAATTATTTTTATAATAAATATTTCAATAACTTATCTTTTATTTTTTTACTATTATCTAAAACAACACTTACACTACACTTAAATGATTGAAAATGATTATTACAATACTGCAATTTTTTGTAAGAAATTTGAAATTAATTAATTTATTAATAAATACATTATTTTTTCAATACTATTCATTTTGCAACTAAATCAATAATTTATAATTTGAATCAGTTGTAATTTTTTTTAGGTAATTGTAGTGAATAATTAGTTATAAATTATTCCAACATTAATCTTTTGAAATCAAATGAATAATTATCTACAAATGATAAATAATAATTTATAAAATTATTTTTTAGACTAAATTATCAGTTCAATTTCTTTTTATTTAAAAAAAAAAGAATTCTTAATGGAGTTACCAAAATAACAATGTTAGGATTACTTATAATTTTTTTTTTTTTACTAAATGTGAATATTGATTTGATTTTGTACAAAGTAATTTTGATGAATTGGTTTGATGGTTAAAAAAGTATATTTTATTTTTTTAAATTAAAATTTTAGAGTTAATATTTATGAAAATTTATCAAAATTTTCTAAATGTATCTTATATTGTGAAAATAATTAAAAAAAAATCTCAATAGAGTTATCAAAATAACAATGTTAGGATTACTTATAATTTTTTTATTTTTTTACTAAATCTGAATATTGACTTGATTTTGTCCCAAGTAATTTTGATGAATTGGTTTGATGGTCAAAAAAATATATTTTATTTTTTTGAATTAAAATTTTAGAGTTAGTATTTATGAAAATTTATTAAATTTTTCTAAATATATCTTATATTGTAAAATTATGAATATGTATTTTTTGAAGTTTTATCAAAACTTGTTTATGTAACAATCACGTACTCGTTTTTGTTTTTTGATTTTTTGTTTTTAAACAAACGCGGAAATATATTTTTCAACAGTTTTTTCATGTAATTGCCAAATGGTAAAAAATATTTTTTTGAAAAATAGCTTACTTAGGAATTGATTTTCCTATTGAAATTATTTTTCGCCAAACAAACAGGACTCGAGTGTTATAAAATTTTTTCAATCACCACATTCATTTTACTTATTCACTACTATCACTTTTTTTACCATCACTTTTTTAATTTTTTTATTTGCAAAATTATTTTGGAAAATTATAATTGGTATTTATATTATAATTTAATCCAATTGGATTAAATGTACTAAATCTTGCAAATATAAAGTATTTTTTGACCAAAACGTTTTCACTCGAGCTAATTTGTCAAAACTGTACAAAAACAAGGCGATTACAGGTGCTTTTTCATTTCCTTTCTTTTCTCAAGAATGAAATATTCTTTTTTTATAGAGAAAAATTTATATTTTTTGTTCAATTTTTTATTGTTTTTATCTATATTTTACCTTCAATTTTATTTGAATTATTATTATTTTTTACTTAAGTATCTATTGTTAATATTATACATTAAGTGTTGACACGTTCATTATCTCGGGACACGTGCTAAAAAATATTCTCCGATAGCAAAAGCTGAATTAAATCCGAAATAATAATAATAATTTCATCACCACTGTTACACCTCTCTCTCTCTCTCTCTCTCTCTCTCTCTCTCTCTCTCTATATATATATATATATATATATATATATATATATATATTCTCAAACGAATAAAAAAAATTATCGAGAAAAAAGTGTTAGAAATTTTAATTAAATCCTAAACAAAATTTTCATGACCAACATAGACATAACAAAACCTTTTATCATCAAACCATCATCTCTATAAAAACTTAGATAGTTAAAAAAAAAACAAAAAACAAAAAACAAAACAAAAAGTTGAAAATCACTTAATACAATTAGGTTATTTTTTAAAACCAAATATATGCGGATTTTGATTTATAGTTTGTGAAAGTTTGGTTTTCATGAAAATATATATATATATATATTTCAAATTCCTTCAGTTCTTTTTGTTTTTTCTTAATGTGAATTAATTATAATATTAATTTTATGTTTTCATTAGTTTGATTTTCTTTGTAAGTTCTAAAATGATTAATTATACGTTTTTGGAAATATTTAATTTTTTAATATTTTTTACTTATTTCTTATTTTTGTAATTTTTTCAAATATAAAAGAATGTATTCCAAAATTACCAACCCTATAACACCATTAATGATGGAAAGACTAACGATATAAACGGACCAATTCTACAAATATTGGATTGAATTAAGAAACATTAAAGATGAGGGACTGTATTAAGACAAAATCGATAGAACTGGACCCAAGCTCATTAACTCAACCCATAGTCGAGAATACTCTGGCCTCTACACGGTACCAAAAAGAGAGAATAGCCCACATCCCGAGATACAATTATGGTGTCTGTTGTGCAGAGGCAATTATAAATTTGTCCCTCCAGTTTTTAAAAAACGAATTAATTAACCCTTCCTATTTCAAAAACTAATTATTTAATCTTTATATTTTTAATTTTCTTGTAATTTAATATTTTTTTCTCTTTATTTATTTATTTTTATTTTTATTTTAATAAATATAAAAAATTAAAAAAAATGAAATTTATTGATGAAAAAATGATACTTTATAAACAAAATTAATATTAAATTATGTATCGTAGGTTCGGCAGACTAAATGGTTAATTTCTTCTAACAAAGAGGATTAATCAACTCATTTCTCAAACCTAGAGGGACTAATTTATAATTTACTACAGTTTTGCATCCATCCGCACAAATCCTTGGTTCCTGCCTGCCTGTAACAATATTAACAGGGCAGGGCTGGGGCTTTTCAATTTTGGAAACCGAAGAGAAAGAAGACATTTTGATTTTTGAAGCTGCAGATAGATCACACATCAGCCAGGCCAGCGATGACGCTTCCAACGACGACGTCGCGTGGGACAGGGAACAAAGCAGCAGGAACAGGCAGCAAGAAGGTGCTGATAACAGGAGTAGGGAAAGGTCTAGGGAGAGCATTAGCCCTAGAATTAGACAAGAGAGGCCACACTGTTATCGGCTGTTGCCGTTCTCAGGATAATCTCAATTCTCTTCAATCACAATTCTCCTCCTCCGATAACCACCACCTCCTCCTCACCGCCGATGTGGTATTGTACCACCTACAGTAACCTGCTGTTTCTCTTTTATTCTTTCATTTTTTTTAACTAATTAATTAATTTTTTTGAATATTTATTTATTTGGTTGCAGAAATCAAATAGCAGTGTTGAAGAGTTTGCGCGTGTTGTCGCGGAGAAGAAAGGCGTTCCTGATATCATAGGTAGATTAATTAATTTATTATTTTTTAATTTTATCCATGTATATGATCATTTTATTTAATTTTTATAGGATTTCTGGTAAAATTTATTCGGGTCGGGTATTATTTGTTTGGCATGCAGTGAACAATGCAGGTACTATTAACCCTAACAAGAAGATTTGGGAGGTTAGTGAAGAAGAATTTGACAGTGTTATTGACACAAATTTGAAAGGGATAGCCAATATGTTGCGTCATTTCATCCCGCTTATGCTACCAAACAAGCAAGGGATTATTGTTAATTCGTCTTCTGGATGGGGAAGGTCCGGCGCTGCGCTGGTAAGTAAGTGTAAGCAAAGCAAGCAAGTAAATTCACAAAAAGATTGCATTTCTTTTGTTGTTTTCTCGTGACTGATTTGCACTGCTCGTGTGCACTTATAATAATCAAGAGGCTAATATTCTTAATGAATTTTAAGGTTTTGTTTGTGTTTAGATAATAATGCCACACATCATCGACAACATAAGATTAGTGTTGGGACTTAAAATTTAATCCAAAAGTTTGTAGGAAGGCACCTTATGAGAGTAAAAAACTATTTTAATGGAGGAAAGAATCGTAACATAAAATTAGTGTTGGGACTTAAAGCAAACTACTAAAACCCTTTGAAAAAATGACATGGTTTCGCTTATTCCATGTATTGTAGATATCTTCTTGCATTGGTAACTGGTACTGGGATTTCTTATTTGTTTCAAATTGGCCTTCAGCTCTCCTTCCCAACTGCACCTTTTCAGCTTGTGACCAGTTTGATCTTTTTCAGGTGGCACCTTATTGTGCATCTAAATGGGCTGTGGAGGGTTTAAGTAGAGCAGTGGCAGAAGGAGATTCCTGAAGGAATGGCAATTGTTGCTCTTAATCCAGGTGTAATACATACTGACATGCTCATGTCATGCTTTGGCACTTCAGCTTCTCTGTACCAGGAACCTGATACGTGGTATCTAGTTTACTCTCTATAAGATCATCTTTTACTTTTTGCTGAGTATAGTTTAGCTTAATTAATGCTTCTCTGAATTTGTGCATGAGTTATACGAATTGCATACCTATATCAATTTTAAAGGAATAAAACTTGCACGTGATTATCAAATGGAGCATATTTGGTTCCGGTTCCATTGGTAATGCAGTGAAATTAAATGTTATCTTGCCTTTGCGTATATCTTACAAGAAATTTCATTAAAATTTTGAGAACTGGCTTGAAAGGCAATACAGCAAGAGCTGAAGCGGTATTAAAATTCAGTATTTTGTTCCCGTCAAGCTTCTTCTCATTACTATTTTGCGTAGATTTAGTCATCCTCAGGTTCAAACACATGCTTGTGCTACCGAATTATAGAATATTAACACAGTAAATGTAGCTAAGGACATGTTGAACATCGGACAGTGAAGGTTTTATCAAGTAATCAGTAATAAATCAGTTTAGCATAACACAAGTGTCATGATATGCTCAAATTGTAGTGAAAAACTGCAAGATTTGCCAGTCAAAATCTGAATGCATAGCAATTGCCCAAAAAAAAGGTGTATCAATTAAAAAAATAGATATGCAGGAATCTCTAATGAAAGTTGTTGAAGCCACCCTGTACCACAGGCCAAATTGTTCAATATCTTGTTTAAGCAAACCCTACTTTTTCCTTTTCTTTTCTTATCAAAGTAAAAGAAAGAAATGAAAAGGATTATAACTTGCATGTTGATTTTTCATGTCTTGTGTAGTCACTACGTAACCTAAAACTATATTCAGGATGTGTTATTTATTGAATTTAATTGTAGACAAAATGCTCTAGTAGACACTGATAGCCATAGATGAAATCACAATCCTCTTACCACTGTCTTAAATCACCAATATGCTAAACTTGGTGGCTTGGTATTGGTCCAATTTGGCTTTTCTTTCTGTGGATGCTCCCTGAGTGGTATCTGGACGATTGACATGGTGCCTTGTAGTGGCCATTTGGTTCTCAGACTAGTATATTTCGTTCTCATATGAGCACAGACTAAAAGAAGAGGAAGAGATTCGAAGAAGGAACAGAATGAACAGACATAATTCTTGTTTATTGCAACTGTAAAATATATTGATTGTCATGCTTAGTCGCAAACTCATCGCAAGCTAGGTGATGTATGCAACTGTCTCAAGTGTGCCGATCTTACTTGTTATTATTCTAGATTGCTTAATTATGACAATCTAGGGACCAACCTGTTTCTCACTTAACCGACTTATCCTTTATGCATGATTATCAGGGCCCTAAAAGCAGCCACAATGATCCTCAATCTAACCACAGCAGATAATGGCGCATCTCTCACTGTGTGACAGAAGTTCCTCCTCAGCACTCAAGGCGCTCATGTGTTACACTGGAAAGCCCCTGACCTTTCAAGCACGGATTTTTTATCCCCTCTGTTGAAATGGATTGTACTGATTTCATAGGTTTTAGTATATGGTGTGATATGCCATCTGGTCAATGTTGATATGATTCTTCTTATTGCCATACTCGCAAATCAGCCAAGGAATATAAACTAACTACTGACATGCAACAGCTGGTTACTTCCATGGACGGACTGGGAGAATTTTTCTTAGGACATCAGATGTTTACAAATAACGGATGAGGCATTGAGAACTGATGAGATTTTTTTCATAGGCGTGATACATGCCTTGGCATGAGAATTTGATTGAAATCGGTTCATGTTCTTCAGCATGTTTAACATTTTTCAATGGTGAAAGATTTGTCAAGAATTTGTTCTTGTCCAGCTAATTTTTTCTTGCCCCTATACGGTAAGTGTTGGTTGCACGATTCTGATGTTAGAATTAAAAAAGTGAGATGGTGGCTTGGAAATGTCAACATTGATTATGGAAAACAACGTTCTGGGTGTGTGAAGCTTTTGAATGGCCGACTGTAGAAGAAAATCTATGAACATGTAAGGAATTCAGACTAAGTTCAAAGGGAAAAAATGGCTTCTACGTGTTTTCTTCCAATTGGCAGGCGTGTTAATGTGTCAACACTAGACAACCAATGACTGAGTTGGCGCAATTCACTAGAGTCAGGCACACCACAAAATGAGAGTTAAAAAATAAAAAACCCATTACTTTAAACATTAAAGACAACCACTACTTGTTCTACGAAATTAAAACCTTTCAGCAAGAAGCTTTCATGAACATGAAGTGCACAAATCCCTGCCCATTTCTTTCAATGGTCATTACAAGTTTTAATTGGAGCAAAAAAATATTCTACGATTCACAGGATCCAGGACCAGGAGCATACAAGAGAAACTCAGTTAATGGAGCAGGGGAAGGAGAATAAAAAGAACAAATATTTTGCTTTAGGTGATGCATATCTATAGTTTTTAACTTTTAATGAACTACCTGAATATCTTCTAATAACTTCAACCTTTGGTGTCGAAAGGACCTACATATATCTCTCAACGCACCAAAATTGCAGGGGAGATCGTTGCCGCCGCCATGCATGACTCTAGAAGACACTTAATTTAGAAACCAAAGAAGCCGAGTTCACTAGCTTTTTCCTTCTCAAAGGTCTCGAAGTACTGATAAATGATTGTAACTGCTAGTAGTATTCCAGTCCCTGAACCGATAGCTCCCATGAAATCTGCCAACACTGTCAATGCACCAATGCAAATGCCGCCAAAAGCTGCAGCAGTGGGTATGTAACGGTTCAACTCTTTCTGTAAGTTGGACTCCCGATGCCCAGGCATAACCATTTGTTGTTCCTGCATACGGAAACCATGTTAATGAACATGCAAAGCTGATAAAGCTCAGCATATCTAAACCCAATAACGCTCATGAATCCCCATAAATTGAACTTTCATAATTTATGTGGAAATAAAACATGATGAGATTAGCATAATAGTTGAGGCAGGAGCTAATGTGCTAGTAGAGAAAAAACAAAACAAAATATGCAATATCACTAAATACAGCCAGCAAGAAAAAACACTCTCCAAACAAATAAGGAATGCACAGCAATCATCCAAAGCTGGCTACATACTACAATGGTTTATACTGGAAAGAATTTATTTCATTTATTTGACAATACCCCAAAGATAGCAAAATTAATATTTACCAGCAGGCTTCTGATAAGCAAAAGATAGAGGAACAGGGAGACTTTTCAATCCAGAGTTAACACGTTAAAGTAGATACAAAACAAACCAGGAGAAGCTTGTACTGCAGCAGACTCTAGGGCCTAGGCTGCCACAAAGTGCCTTATCATCCCTGTTAAAGGCTAAGGCGAACAGCCCTTGCAGGAATTCCACATTCAATGTCCATGGCTTGGAGAATAGGTAGACACTTAAAAATGTCAAAATGCCATATGTGAATATTATGCCAGGGAAAAGTACAATTCAGTTTTTCAACGTGGTTCAAATTCCCAGCACCAGTATTTTCTTCCTTGTCATTTTGGTTTTGGAAGAGGAAGAGAATGCCCAAAGACATGCAGGGAGATTAATTCACACACTTGAATTCAGAAAAGAAAAAGTTCCTGCATGACCTAGTCAGGCTGCCTATTTTTATAAATTCCGAAACATCAACAACACAAATGAAAAGATTAGAGCACCAAAAAGGAGCTACAAATTTCATAACTATGTGTCAGAAAAGGAAATTTCCTAAAATTACAAAATGGAATCGCCAAAAGCCATGAACTGAATATGGAGACTTTGCATCTTGCCTGATCAATTCTGCTTAAATAAATCAAGGAGACAGATAGAAATTAAGTTAAAAACAAGCCAGGCACAACTGCTCAACCCATAGCCAACATCTAACCAATTATATAAAATATATTATACAAACAATAGCCATGATGCCTTTAGATACTTGGAAATACTTAAAACATAATCAAGCTGCTACTAATCAGATTCAATTTCCAATGAAATCATCAGATTAGACCTTAACATTATTTCAAGTACTCTTTATGTGCATTTTGACACCTAAAGACAGGTAACCACCTTGCTTTTAACATAAATACGTCGACAGGTTGAGTTTGGTATGTGAACAAAAAAACCAGCACATCCATGAATCAAACCTACAACAAATCATGGATAAGGTTGAGATTGGTGTTGTGGTAGCTTATAAGCCACCGGAGCTACAGCACAGAATACCTCTGGTTGGAGCTCTCCACTGGAGGTGCCTTTCCAGTGACTTATTACAAGCCACCAATATACCCACTACATGTCTTTGACTGCAAATTTAAGCCTGCATAACTGTTGAATTCTGGATAGTTCACATATCAGTGTTGTGTATTAAATAAATGGATCAAGCTTGGTGTAGATTCAACTACTCTTCAGTTCTAAAATGGGACTCTAAGATTGTTCAAGACTCTTCAACTATTAGGTCACCTGCTTATGCTCCACAGACCAAATATATGGAGGAGTTTGGATGTGTGACATGCAACATGCATAAAGTTAACACAAAAGAATTTCAAGGGATCCACTAAAATGTCACAGGATCCACTCCCTTGACTACCTAGAGAAGACGCCCAAACGATGGAGACTAGATTTTTCCCAAACAATGGACTGAAAAAACCCTATGATAAAAAATCGCAACCAGAACAAAAGGTAAAACTGAAAGAAAATTATGCACCGCAAAAGCTAAAAAGAAGCATTGTGCTAAAAGCAAAGGAACAGTTTTGTTCATTATAGAACATATGAAATAAAAAGGTCCACATACCTTGAGCTGCTTGGCCACGTCTTTAGCAGATGATCCAGATACTTCAATCCAAGTTTTTGAGAAGAGGGCACACGCTGACAACATAAACACGAGATAGAAAAGTGCATGGAAAGGATTTGCAGCCATATCAGCTAAGCTGCAAAAAATAAAAAAATAGAAAAAAGGAAGAAGGAACATGTTAA